AGGTAATAATTACACCTATATAACTATCCCATTTGCAACTGCAAAAGCATATATTAGACAGGGTCATAATTGTACATATCATGATGGAAATATCCCCTTGTACAACCACAAATCCATTATAAGATATAGGATAGGTGGTAATATCGTTTGAGGGGCATTCTTTTGGTGTCTCAAAACTTGAAATGATTACCACTGATATTCAACTAGTTTTTGTTATATTACATGACAAATCGATGAAAGAAAACACAAATGTCTGTACAAACACATTGTTAACGAAATAACTGACAGAAATACTCATGTCTACTACAATCCTTGTTAATGCAACTGGCAATGTGACCTTAGATGGGATTTATAAATTCCTTCCTATACTACCTTTTGGTATTTCCTCCAGTCTCAGCAAGCACCTCAGCAGGTCTTGACTCTTATTGGAGGAGTGACACATGCCCTAATTTCTCAATGATGTGTGCCCTTTGTCATCCTGCCTGGATTAGGATGTTGCAGTTTCCCATCAACTTCAATCACAGTACGTAGTAGGACCAAGAGACACCCAACAGGATCCCCAGCACTCCAGACATAATCCTTTTTACATCCATTGTGGAGAGGTAATCCCATTCCCCTTGGTAATCTATTTCAATAACCCCTTTTAACACTGTTATTCGTTTCTTAGCCTGTTGGCCAAGGGCATTAGAAGCCCATAGTGTCCCGGGTGATGTCAGATTTTGTAGTTCAATGGAAGGTTTCTTGTGCATCCTGGCAGGAGTGCTCCCCCCACTGGAGCAAAAACTAAGACAGCAGAACTTAAGGTCATGGGAACAGGAAACAATCTTTCCTAGTGGGTCACTAGAGATGACATTGAGTAGAACTATTCCCTTCCACCCCTTGAATCATGGACCTGTGGATTCTGGCAATTGAGAAATGGTACCATATATTGGCTACTGATTCAAAGCATATACTGCTTTCTGGAAAGCCCTGCACTAGATCTGCAGGCTGCTGCCACCTAAATGGTGTGGTGACTGTGTCTTCAAAGGTCATTTAAACTTTCTATCAAGCAAGCTGCTTCAGGATGGTGGGGAATATGAAAAGACCAGTAGATGCCATGGTTGTGGGTCAACTGTTGCAGTTTCGTGGCTATGAATAGAGTTCCTTGTTCAGAAGCAGTACTGGGTGGAGTACCATGACAAGTAGATCTATAAGTCTATAGATGGTGGTTTTGGCAGAAGCATTATATGCAGAAAATGAAAATCCATTACCAGAATGACTATCAACTCCAGTAAGGACAAGGTATTGTCCTGTCATCAGGGATGGTGGCCCAATGTAGTCAACCTGCCACTAGGTGATTGGCTGGTTACCCAAGGAAATATTGCCATATGTGTGGCTCAGAATTAGTCTTGACTGTTGGCAGATCTGACACTCAGCAGCAGCTGTAACCAGGTCAGCCTTGGTGAGTGGAAGTTCACATTTTTGATCCCCATGCATAATCTCCATCTCTGCCACCATGGCTACTTTGCTCATGGATCAATCAGGCAATGACAGGAATGGCTGGGGATTTCCACAGAATGCATAATTCTATCTCCTTGATTATTGAACTCCTCAACTGAAATCACCTTTTGATGAGCATTTAGATGAGACACAAGTATGTTTACATCCTTTGCTCATTTGGAGAAATTTATCCACATATTTCTTCTCAAGATTTCTCTCTCACCAATTTTCCCATCATGTTCTTTCTTACTTCCTGACCATCCAGCCACTCCACTGGCTACAGACATGAGTCAGTGAACAATTGCACATCTTGTCATTTCTCCTTCATAACAAACAGTAATAGATTGCAGTTTGTCTGAAGTTCTGCCCATTATGAAGATTTTCTTTCACAAGAATCTCTCAGGGTTATCCCAGAAAGGTGTTGTAATAATGCAAGTGCCCACTTCAGTCTGATGCCTTTATAATGTGCAGAATCATCAGTAAACCAGGCCCTAGTCTTCAATAGGGAACACCTGAAGAGGGTATAGGCACATATTTGGCACCAGACACCATTGTAACAGAAGAATAAACCATTGGCATTTGGGAAACTTCTTCATGTAATTTTCTTGTGCCATCAGGACCAGCTTGTGACCGATCTCATATATACCACTTCCACTTGATAACAGATTGCTACAGTGCATGTCATACTTTATGAGTTAGTGGGTGTGATAACAACCCGTTCATGATGGGCAGGGCAGGTCTCATGATCACTTGGTGTTTTTTGTCAAATGTTCAGTTTCCACTAAGACCAGTAGCAAGCCAAGAACTATCTCACAAAGGGAGTATACTTATCTGGAGATTATGATAGACTTCGCTCCAAATCCCAAAGTTATCTTTGTAATTCTTCTATAGGGGTCTGACTAAGTCTCCAAACAGCATCCCTATCTGCCACTGACACCTCAAGTACCATATGGTCTGCTGGTTCATATGTTCCAAGTGGTAGAACAGCCTGAACAGCTGCCTGGACCTGTGGAAGAGCCTTCTCCTGTTTTAGGCCCTACAGAAAGCTACAAGCATTTGAGTCAATTGGTGCATGGGTTAGAGAAACACACCCAAGTGTGGAATGTGCTGTCTCCAGAATCCAAATAGGCCCACTGAATATGGTGCTACTTTCTTGGTGCCAAGGGGTTGGGTACAGTAATTTATCCATCATCTTAGAAGGAATATCTCTGCATACCCCACACATGGGACTCCTAAGAACTTCACTGAGGTAGAAGTTCCTTGAATTTTTGTTGGATTTATTTTCCATCTTCTGATATGCATATATGTTAACAATGAGTTCAAAATTGTTGCTGCCTTCTGCTCACTTGGTCCAGTCAGCATAATTCCATCAATACAGTGCAGCAGTGTGATACTCTGTGCAAGACAGAGATGATCAAGAACCCTTCTAACTAAGTTATGACACAGGACAGGAGAGTTCATATATCCCTGGAGCAAAACTATTGGCCTTACCTAGTAAAAAACAAATTATTTCTTGAAATCTTTAGGGACAGGAACTGAGAAAACTCATTTTATAAGTCAATACTTGCATACTATGTATCAGGAGATGTGTTGATTTGCTCAGGTGAGGACACTACATGTGGTACAACTGCTGTAATTGTAGTTACTAAATGATTGGGTTTTTGATGGCCAACCATTGTTATCCATTATCCATCTGCTTCTGCACTGACCACATAGGAGACTAAAAGGCATATATGGTAGGAACTACCATCCCTGTAAATTTCAAGTCCTTGATATTAGCACTAATTTCTGCAGTTCTTTCAGGGATGTGATACTGTTTTTGTCTCACTATTTTCTTTGGCAGAGGCAACTCTAAAAACTTCCATTTAGCATTTTCAACCATAATAACCCAAATCCCCCAGACACCGAGCCGGCCATAGAGTAAGAAGGAAAGAAAGACATATAGAATAAGGTAAATTGAAAGTCAGAAGCAAAATACTGAAAAAGAGAAACAGGATGATTTAAGTTAGAAAATATGGCTAAAAATAAGCTACATTAAGGCTGGACATTTGAAACTAAGAATAAGCCTCTGTGTCTTTATTTTGGAGCAGATGAGAAAGCCAATTACATGCTCCACAGGTCAGGGAACCAATATGAGAATCCTGCCAATTTCTAAGCATATTTATCTCAGTTACACATTCTAAAACAGGGGAAATAATCACAGGATAAGTTTGGGTATCTATGGGCCCTACTGTAATTCTTATATCAGATAACACTACATAAACTCCTACTTAAAACTGGAGGACCACAATGTTTCTTGGGACCCCCCAAGAATCAGCATCAATTCAGAACCAGTGTCTAACAGACCCCAGAAAATCTGATTGTTTTTTGTCCCCAGTAAACAGGTACCCTTTGTAAAAGGCCATAAGTTCCTCTGGGGAAGAACTGTAGGAAGGCTAACTGTAAACTTTTAGGTGTCTTCTCAGAATCCTTTCTTAGGGGAATCTATCCACCCTTTCATTCAAGGGGTGCTGGATCTGCAATCTGGCTCAAGTTTGGAAATTGATTCACTGGTCCAGATTGCCTTTGTCATGATCCAGTACAGCCTTTCTTTCATTTGCCTGAGAATTTTATGTTTATACAGAGCAAACAGAAATGTAGTCAGCTACTTATCTATGTCATGGCTGGAATGATTGACTAGCAAGTACCAAAGATCATATGAGTCATGTCACCATAAAATTCGCCTTGCCTGTGCTGACCATTACAGACTGGGCTATTATGAACATTGCTTTGTTTATTGTGGTGTTTGATGGAAAATGGCCCCCAAAGGGAGTGACACTATTAGGAGATGTGGCCTTATTGAAACAGGTGTGGTCTTGTTGGAGGAAATGTGTCAGTGTTGGGGTGGGCTTTGAATTCTTTTTCTCAAGCAACAATCAGTGTGATATCCAGTCAACTTCCTGTTACCTGCAAGTTGTAGAATTCTCACCTTCAGCACCACATCTGCCTGCATGTTGCCATGCTCCCCCTTCATGATGATAATGAACTGAAACTCTAAAATTGTACGTGAACCAGCCTCCTTTTAATGTTTTCTTTATAAGAGTTGGTGTGGTCATGGTGTGTTTTACAACACTAGAAACCAAAGTAAGACATCTATCTACCCATTATGATAACAATGTCTTTGATGATTCAGTGCTGTCATGAGGTCCTTCTACCTGTGAGGTCAATTAAATGCATTGCATTTAATTTATCCCTGACAACCTCCACCTCCAACCTTAAGTCCTGGCACAAGGAAAACTGCAACAAAGAGCTTAAGGATAGACAGGATGGAGGATGTGACCTGAATTTGTGGAAGATATGCAAAGGCTTGGCTGTTCTGGTGTGGGGGTGGCTGCTCAGTGAAATCAGATGTCCTAAGTGAGTAACTGACACAGTCTCTGCCACAGATTCCAAGCACAAGGAGAGAAGGCCCCACCCAAGATCTCCTGTGAGGCCAATCAAGTGCAGACACGTGTGCAGCTCCAAGCAACTCTCCCAAGAGGCACAGTCAGCTTTAATTTTTACTTGAAATGGGACTACAAAAAGACCATTTGTATTATATGTCTGTAGAGAAAAGCAGAACAAGCATTTGGAAAGATTTATGAAATTTTATCCTGTTGGAGATTTGATATAATAATACTCCAATTTAAGTCCGTTTCCTGGAAAATTTTATCTGCATGATTTTTTCTTTTTTTTTCTAGATGTCTCATTTGTCCAGTGGTCTTCAGATTCCTTAGCTGGATGCCTTCATTCTCCTGAAAAGACAAAAACAAAACCATACCCCAACCCTAATTTTGGGACGGTTCCCTTATGGCAAGTAATGTCTGAAAAAACGAAAAACATTTATTAGATTTAAAGTTAGTTTAGATTAAATGACCATGCTATTTGATTAATTATTACGTCTTCTCATCAAGGGATGCCTTTTGTTCAAACATAATCTTTATGTATTTTAATGGTATCTGTCATCTTCCAAACCCCCTTTTTCTCAAACCCCCTTTCCCAACAAAGCACACATCCTGGTTCCCATCCTGAGGACAGCACATCTTTAAAATATACCAGCTGATTTAATTCCATAGGTTTTTTCCTGTTATCTAATTTCTCTCCACTGCTGTCAATTCTTTCTCATTTACATTCAGAAAATTCAAAGTTAATAAAGCATTTTGCAATCTAATTCTGCAGGTCTTTATTACCCCTTGTTGTTCATTTAGCATATCCTTTAGAGTTTGATTTGATCATTCTATAACTGCTTGCCTTGTAGGATTGTGTGGCATAGTGTAACATGCTTTATATTTTAATAAGCAAAAACTGTTTTATTTTACTAGAGTCTTATGCTAGAGCATCGTCAGTCTTCATTTTTTCAGGTACTACTAAGATTTCTAGCATTGCTTGATTATAGAATCAGTCTTTTCAGAACTCAAAGCAATTACCCACCCAAATCCTGAATAGTATCCATGATGTATATTTTAGTTTTCCAAATTCTAGAAAATAAAACACATCCACTTGCAAGATTTCATTCCTTTGAGTACCCTTCGAGTTACTTCCTGCTGGTGTTGGAGTTTAGTTATATAAAGAACAAGGAGAACATTTCCTTATAAGTTTTATAAAGAACAAGGAGAACATTTCCTTATAATTTCCTTGACTTTTTGCCAAGGACAGAAAAAGTCTTTTTTCAAACCTTTGCTATAGACATTTTTTATGAAATTCCGATGCCTTCAGCATATTTCCTATCAATTGTTGATCAATTTCATCAATATCTTGAGCTAAAGGGCCTGCCAGACCTGTATAGGATCAGATGTATGTTTCTATTTCTTTGTTCTCCATATTTTCCTGTTTCCTTGTGTGCAGGATATTTTCTAATTAACTGTCAAACACTGTGGTTATCTCATTTATATGTCTATCAGAATTCTTGAACCTTACAAACAACTTGATTTTATTGGATCTTGATTTTAACATTTACTATGTGGGTTAAGAACGTCAATGAATGTAGGATTAACATTTCCTTATTACTGACACGAGGACTTCCTGAGAATCACACAGACTGAATTATTAGATATTTCACTTGCTTGCATCAATGTATGTTAAAAAGTATGGTCTTTATCTAGACTGGAATGGGCCTGCAGTATTACCAGTGTGGTTTAATTGTTCCTCTTCATTATAAGAAGGGACAAAGAAAAACATTACTTTCTAGAAAGTAGTGGGGAAACTTAAGTCAAGAGAGATGAGTGACTGAGGAAATCATCAAAAGGCTTTCATTTGAAGGTGTGACCTGGTTGAAGGAGGTGTGTCACTGTGGGGGTGAGCTTTGAGGTCTCTTTTTCTCAAGCCCCCTCAGTGTGACTATTAGTTGACTTCCTGTTGTCTGCAAGATCTAACACTCTCTGCTCTAGCACCACATCTGCCTGCAGGAAGGCTTCCTCATATCAAGATAATGAGGGTCTAAGTCTCTGAAAGTGTAATAATCCACCACAATTCAGTGTTGCTTTGTAACAGTTGCCAAGATTGGTTTCCAGGAGTTTAATTCAGTGTTTAGCTATGAGTGACTGCCTCTAGTTCCATCAGCCACTGGATAAAGACTCTAGGAGGGCATACAAGTTAGTCATCAATCTCATTATCGGGGAAGGGCATATAAGGTAGCCTCTCCACTATTGCTTAGATTGCCAGTTGGTGTCATCCTTGTAGATCTCTGGGAATCACATTAGTGCCAGATCTCTCCTCAAATCTATAAAGACTCCCTCTACTATGGAGCAAGACATTTGACACCAACTCTTGTTTTTATACACACACACAAATATACACACACACATGCATGAAACGCACAAGACAGTGATTTCAAAAGGAATTAGAGAGCTCAGTGAATCCCATTTATAAAAAGTGGAGGAAACCATCAAGCTAATTCTGTAATTGATAGAGAAGCAGCTGTCACTCATTTTAGCTCAAGAACAGGCATGTTTATAGATGGCTAATGATCTTGTTTTTACCATCTCAGAATTGTCTTTGTAGAGAGAAGTCTTTTCCTTGTCTGCTGCTTGGTTTTTCCCTCACCAGTCGCCTGGGCTCTGCTGCATTGTAGTGCCCAAATAACACACAAGACATGGTATTAATTATGAAGCTGTTGGCCTTGCTTGTTTCTTACTGGCTAGCTCTGACTTAAGTATTTATCCCATAATTGTTAATCTAAGTATTTCTTACTGGAGAAGTTTCTGGGCTTCTTATCCCTATGGCGGTTACATCTCAACTCTCTGTGTTTCTCCTTCCCAGAGTACTCCTCGACTCCTAGTCCCACCTATCTTGCATCCCTATTGGCCAACAGTGCTTTATTGACATATACACAAGACTTCCCCAACAGGTCTTGCCTAAGGTTACTCTTTTGTGAGATTATGAATATCCAGTAAGGCATTGTGGGCCAACCATGAGCATCAGGCCAGCTTGTTGAAATGAGGACTCTTAAATCTAAATGCCAGGCCAGCTCCAAGGTGCCAACTGATGTTTTGATATTTCACATGCAGTCACAGAAAGCTGTCTTTTTGTACTATTTAGGTTATGTTGGGAATTCTTCTGAAAATCCCTCTGCTTCAGCCTTGGTTCCTCTGAGGGGCACCTCATTATGTGACATTTCTTTGTGACAGTTATCTCCAGTCCTCTATGCTGGTTAGTTTCAGTGAGCTCCCAGATCATGTAGAATAATTTACCCTGGCAACAATTTCCTTGTATCGTCCCTTAGAAAAAATTGCCCCGTGTTGAGGTTTGTTATTTCCTCCTTGACTTTGAATGTTTTTACTATTTCGTGACTCATTCCCACAAAGTGTTTGATGTTAAAGGGGCAGCTGCAGGATGAGTCTAAGCTTAAGAGCAAATAAGAAAACTGCTGAGAGCCTGGGGACTGCTGAAGAAGTGGTTAAAGAACCAGTCCACTTAAGTTTGATGTTTTAGATGGCTTCAAAATGGTCACCATCACAATAAGGGACAGGAAGGGTATAGGCAGGTCCTAGAAGTCAATCTAGAAAATTCCAAGAGTTTCCAGTCTTAAGTCTCTGACTATATAAGATATTTAGACATGGAGAGGTTGAGGGGCAAACACAATAAACACTCTCTATGTTTTTGAGGAATTTGTGTTGCCAAAAGAAATTCATGCCTGGCCTTTGATGAGCCATGTGTCTTTTTAATGCTCAAGATAATTGCTCTGTATCTGAGCAAACAGGAAGTGGGAATTGGCTATGAAGGATAATACATGAGGCAGAATTTCCTGGATTCAGAGCAGAGTGAACAGGATTCAGGGAAAACCCACTGTTACCTCTTATCTTGACGATGTGGACAATGACATGTCCTATGGAGACAAGAGAGAAAGAATCAGGTTCCTGAATGAATATATGGAGACAGAAATTAATTCCATCTTCACTGAGCCATATTGGATTATGACATGGTGTGTGTGTGTGTGTACACGTGTGTGTGTACGTGTGTGTTTACTGGTGTTGGTGTTCAAGTATGTGTGTGTGTACTGGTACTTTTTTGCATGTGTGCATGCGTGTGTGGAGGTCAGTGGTCAACCTTGAGTGTTGTTTGCCAAAGGCTGTCCATGGTATTTGGAAACCAGGACTGTAGTTTCCCTAGGGTCCATCAGGCTGAGCTAGAGGCTGGGCCAGCCATCAAGCTGAGCACAAGGGATCTGTCTGTGTCCATCTATGCAGGTTTGGAATTATAAGCATGTGCCACTGTGCTCCACCATTGAACACTTTTGTTTGGACCGAGGGATCAATCTCAGGACCTCATACTTGCACAGGACAAGCTCTTTATCAACTGAGTTACCTTCCTGGGCCTAGACACTTTTATAGTGGCCTACTTAAATAATGAAAGATTTCAAACTGGGACTTTCCCTTCTCCACTAAATCTATTCTCCCAAGAGATTTGGAGAAATGACAATACTCTCATTGTGATATCTTGAACTAAACTTTGAAGACTTCCTTGGTTCTGTCCCCTATTAAGAGCACAACATCAAACCAAGCATTGCATTTATGATATGGGTTGGTGTTTCCACATCATGTAATAACCTATGTTTTCTCTCATAATTTTAATATCGCATGACTAAAGAACATTAGGAACATACTTGTAAGCAACACAAGGTCTGGTTTACTCGTCTACTATTGAAGTTGGGAAGGATGCTCCAAGAGGAGGCAGGGGCATCTCAAAATGATATCAGGTTGGAGGAGCTGCCTTAGTCAGTAGAGTACTTTCCCTGAAAGCCTAAGGACCTAAATTCGGATCCATAGCATCCACAGAAGAAGCAAAGCATGGTAGTGTGCACAGGGGAAGCAGAGGCAGGGCATCCTCAGGTTTGAAGGCCAGTAGGTCTAGTAAGTCTAGTAACATTCACTGGAATGGGCCTGCAATATTAACCTGTGGTTAAATTGTTTCTCTTTATTATAAGAAGAGACAAAGAAAAATACTACTTTCTAGAAAGTAGTAGGAAAACTTAAGTCAAAAGAGAGATGAGTGATTGAGGAAATCAGCAAAAGGCTTTCATTTGAAGGCGTGACCTGGTTGAAGGAGGTGTGTCACTGTGGGGGTGAGCTTTGAGGTCCCTTTTGCTCAAGCTCCCTCAGTGTGACTGTTAGTTGACTTCCTGTTGTCTGCAAGATCTAACACTCTCAGCTCTAACACCACAACTGCCTATAGGCAGCCTTCTTCCTGTCACAATAATGATGGACTAAAGCTCTGAAAGTGTAAATGATCCACCCCAATTAAATGTTTCTTTGTTAGAGTTGCCTAGATCATGGTGTCTCTTCACAGCAACAGAAACCCTCACTAAAACATCAGTCAAGGGTAACATGTTGGTTAGTTGACCTTGAGGGGTCAGCTGTTTCTGTGGGTTTTACCTGCCCGGTCATGGCCCCTTTGCTCATCACTCCTCCCACTCTGCAATTGGTTTCCAGGATTTTATTTCAGTGTTTAGCTGTGGGTGTCTGCCTCTGCTTCCATCAGCCACTGGATGAAGACTATAGGATGGCATATAACATTGTCATCAATCTCATTATCAAGGAAGGGCATGTAAGATACCCTCTCCACTATTGCTTAGATTGATAGTTGGTGTCATCCTTGTAGGTCTCTGGGAATTTGTTTAGTGCCAGACCTCTCCTCAAACCTATAATGACTCCCTCTATTATGGTATAGTAAGTGACAGACCAAAACACTTGAGACTAACTCTAGTTTTTATACACACACACACAGCATACATATGCAGGAAAACACACAAATAAGACAATCTTTTCAAAAGGAATGAAACAAGGAACCTGGTATCAGATTTGGGATTGTCTTAGGAAGCTATAGTATAGTTACAACTGGGGAACAATGACAGCTCAGTGATTAGAGAGCCCAGTGAATCCCATTTTTCATAAGTGGAGGGAAACATCAAGCAAACTCTGTAATTAGTAGAGAAGCAGTCGTCAGTCACTTTATCTCTAGGACAGACATGTTTATAGATGGCAAATGATCTTGTTTTTACCATCTCCAAATGATCTTGCCTAATGTTGCTTTTTTATGAGGTTATGAATATCCAGTAAGGCATTGTGGGCCAGCCATGTGCGTCAGGCCAGCTTGTTGAAATGAGGACTTTTAGATCTAAACGCCAGACCAACTCCAAGATGCCAACTGCTGCTTTGATCTTTCACATGGGTGGTGCCTGCTTCTGCAGTCACAAGTAGTTGTCCTATTGTTGTGTTTAGGTAAGGTTGGAGAGTACTCCTGAAAATCACTCTGCCTCAGCCTTGGTTTCTCAATATCTGAGATCACTTTGTGGCAATTACCTCCAGTCCTCTATGCTGGTTGGTTTCAGTAAGCCCCCATGCCAACAATTTCCCTGTATCTTCGCTTAGAAAGAATTGCCCTGTGTTTAGATTTGTAATTTCCTCCTTGTCTTTGAATTTTTTACTATATTGTGACTCATATCCACAAAGTGTTTGGTGTTGAAGGGGCAGCTTCAGGGTGAACTCAAGCTGTCCTCTTGACCTGGGAGTAGCCAAACTTTCTTTGACTTTCTCTGGATGGTAGTCTCATCTCTCATGGTGGCATTGTCAAGCCATTTCTTTAACAGAGTGGTGGATTGTAACTGCTATTTATTTTTCTGAGTATTTTTAAACATAGCTCATGTTGTGTACAGATTATTTTTGTCTCTTAAATGCCAAGATTAAAAATGAAAACCTGAGCATGGAAGTACATGGATGTAGTTGCAGACACTTACAGGACTGTGACCAGAGAATGACTTGGACCTAGGAATTTCAAGCCGGCCAAGGAACCTTAGCCATCAGGATGTGGGGTGGGAGGAGTTAGGGGGTTGCAGCATAATTGGTTGTCTTTCTAAATAGTGTTTTGCTTCATTTTAGCAAAGCACACCTATAGGAGGAAACAGTGTTCTGCCTTTAACCATGTGACTTATTAGAGTCACATACAGATGAGGTAATAAAAGGGTGGTTTACCGCACCACTAACCACACCCACTTTAGGCATGACTAAAGACATATACAGAGGAAGGTATAAAAGACTGAACAGTGGAAGTCTAGCTCTTTTTTCCTGGCTTTCCGGCTTCTAGTTCGGCGGCAGAAAACTACTCAGCTCATCTGGGTTACTTGTTTGTCTCTCATGAGTAATTTCTACAATAAATACTTATTTTTACTTTCAGTAAGTGTGCCGTTTATACTTGCAGCATCATTTTTAATATCCTAAGTATTTTCTACCAAACCTTCCATACTATCCTGCAAGGAATTTCCCATTTCCTGAATTCTTTGTACTAGGATTTCATAACCATCCTGCGATGACTGTATAAGTTTGTCATATTTCACCCTAATTTTGAACCATTTCTTTAGCAAAACTATATGGATTATGAAACTAATAATCACCATCGTGGGTAGGAAGTACCTTCCAGGTAGGTCCTCAACCCTTTCTAAAATCCCATCCATACAAAAACCAAGAAAATTCTTAACATCCTGCATCTTAATGTTAGTTGACATTGTATAAAGCAGTTAAGATTGTTACCAGTGGAGTTTTATTCAGGCCAAAATCAGCAGACCACCAGTGAAAGAACACGTGACTGCCAGAGAAATCTCGGAATACCACTTAACCTTACTGGCAGGTAGAAGGTGCTGGTTCCTGGCGGCAGGAATCATGCCTTGCCGAGTGAAGTGGTGGGGAACTTAGTGAAAAGAGAGTCCATGTGTGCCTGGGGCCGGCATAGCCTCAGAGGCCTGTGTCTCTCCATGCCCTGTTGAAAAAGAGGCTCTATGGATGGAGGAAGTGTGCAGCATGTCTATTTTCCTATGGTCATTATAAGGTCACTGAAACAGGAGAACCTATGAACAGGCAGCACTCATTGGGTTTGAGATTATTGCAGAGGGGGTAAAACCTGAAACTCAGGTCCAGTTCTGGTACATGAGGAAGGATCTTGGCTACAGGACCCAGCAAGTCGGCTCATCCACTCGCTGTCATTCCCACATTTATTGGACAGAGAGGCATGCATGTAACTGCAAGGTTAATCATTTATTGAACAGGGAGAGGAAGACATTCATGCAGAGTTGCCATGGGTATGACAAAGAGACATTTAAAAGAAATCCTTTGATTCTGGATGAGTCATCCTAGATAATCAGGGAAGATTCTGGGGATGCAGGGTTTAAGCTTTCCTGGGGGACAGCGATGGGAATCAGATCACAGGACTTGTCACCGAACAGTGTGTGGACAGGAAGGGATGATGCTGGAGTCCAGGTTAGGAGTTCACACTCAACACTGAGGAAGCCAGGAAAAAAGAATTCAGACACTCATTAAGCACTTGCTAGAGCTGATTTCAGGACATAGAGCCATTCTGTCATACAGAGTAAAGTGTGAAGACAGACCTTCCCTGACCACCCAACTAATGTTACTGACCAGAATATAGAACAAAAGGCATAGAATAAATAACATTTTCCTTATTGATACCATATGGAAAATAACAGTAATGAAAGATCCTAGGCTTGTTCCCCCTATCTTTTGCATAAGAAACTCTGTTGTGGGATATTTGTACATTGTGGGAAGATGTGTCACTGTGATTGTTTTTTAGAAAGAGATGAATGGACAATAAATAGGCAGGACAATTAGGTGGGACTTAAAGGCAATGAGAGAGAGAGGGAGAAAGAGAGAGAGAGAGAGAGAGAGAGAGAGAGAGAGAGAGAGAGAGAGAGAGAGAGAGAGAGAGAGAGAGAGAGAGAGAGAGAGAGAGAGAACGAACTCAGGGAAGAGGAAGGGGCAGGGTTGTCAGCCAGAGGAACTGGAGAGGAAACAGGAGGTGCAAGATGGACGAGAGGTAACCCCATGTGAATGTAGATTAATGTAAATGGGTTAATTTATGTTATAAGAGCTAAGTAGCATCAAGCCTAATCTACAGGCCAAACTGTCATAATTAATATCAAGTCTGTGTCATTATTTGGGAGCTGGCTGGTGAAACAGAGAAGTTACAAAGTTATGAAGAAATTGCAGTAAATTGAGGCTTAATGATAAAAGCATCTTTAAAGGTTTTCACATATCATCAGAATGAAGTCTTCGAATGAATGGGAAAGAGGATAGATGAAGGAACTCATGGTACTCTCCAGGCTGGAGGAGAAATGCAGATTGTGATGCTGATGCTCCATTCCCATGTAAGGAGTAAGGATGTACAGACCTCACAGGAAGATGTTATTATCAGGAGTGGGAGTGAGGTGGATCCAGTCACTGGTGAACATCTATACTCACATTCTTAATGACTTTTGATGCTTTGCTGATCACTTTTCACACGAAAGTACAACATCTATGTCTTTCCAAATCCTTGTTTCCTTACTTAAACACTTGGGTCACTTACTGAAAAGCTCATCATAAGACTAAATCACAAACCCATAAATTTGGAAACCAAATTTCAATCTCTCCTCAAAGGTTCCTTATCAATTATTTATTTTTATTGTAATTTTAGGGCACAATACAATGCTTTTGAGAGGGTCTCATTTGTGCTCACCTACTCTTCATTCTCACTGGAGATTACCCATCTGGAGGCTCAGGCCACTATTTCAACTTGGGTCTTGAGACAGTGATCTGCAAGGTATGAATAAGAACACATTCAGGTGCCAGGTCCAATTTATTTCCACAAGAGATACCACATGCTTCTCTAGGGGCAACATGTGTCTGGTTGATACTTGGTATGTTCTTTCCATGATATAAAATCAGGCAATAAAAATGTGTGAGTCCTGACTTACCAGCCTCTGTTAGGTCTATTATATTTTCCTTAACAATTCCATGCTTCTGGCATAGATCCCCAAACTTTTTCTTGATGTTTGAACTCAACTTTGGTTTCCGGCCTGTGAAAAATAATGGTGACTGTAGTGATTGCATCTTGTGTATTGACCACATTCACAGAGCTGAATAATGAATGGGACAGGGCCCCTCCAGAAGGATGAGAAAATGATTGACAACATGATTATCAGGCATGGACATGACCTGTCATGAACTTGGCCTCCATAGGATATCTTACTGGCATAGTGAGGGATTTAAGAGCCCTCCCACCCTCACCACTGTGCCTGAGGGATGACAGAGGTGACCATTTGTCTGAAGTAGATAAGAAAAAAAGAGGCAGTTCAGGGCCAGGCTTGGTAGCCCATGTTAGAGCTAGGGTTTCTTTCTTCTCTTTTTCTCCCATCCCATGACCAGTGTCTGTGTGAAAATACTCTACCGCAGAGCTTCATCAACTGGAATGTTTCCCCATTCTTGATATTTCTGAGATGAGTTATAATATAATCATTATAGTCTGTATCAAGTATAGTAAATCTATTATATCCATCATCTGTGGAAGAAATGGAACACAACTCAGAACTTCTTTGGTCCACAGGAAATAATTGAAACCCTTTACCTATTCTATATCACAGGCAAAAATTAAAATGCATATTCTAATAGAGATTGGTGAAAAAAGTCTGGTGCTTTCTATCTTTGGATATCATGAAGTAACTTCTAGGAGAAGGGATGCTGATGGTTTGACCTCTAGTGAACAATTAGTCACAGCAGCACCTCTCCTCTTATCCTCTCTACTTCAATCAGCAGCTTCCATTGATCTTTATCTGTCTTTCATAAGCTCACTGTATCAAACACCTGCTGCTGCATCCTGAGTGATGTGCACTGGTGGCATCCACTGGGACTGAATCAGACAGATGGCAAGAGATGAGTACCCATCTTACCTTACTTGTCCCACCTGCCCAAGACCGGGATGGTAGTTATTAGATGGTTCCTGTTGCATTAGCTAAATAAACAATGATCAGGAAGCAACTGAGAGTCTGAAGAGGGTTGGGGTTTGGTTCAAAAGGAGAGAGTTTGACTAGTATTACAAGGCCTTGAGTTCAATCCCCAGCATTGCATGCACATGTGATCACACACACCCACACACACCCACCCACCCACACACACACACACACACACACACACACACACACACACACACACACGATAAAGATATTAGGGTTTACAAGTTCTTTATGGATAGATATGTAGACTTTTTATATACTTACATTTGGCATCATATACACCACCCTTTTCTGTTTTGTCACATACTAAATACAGCTCTGTGCACTCTTCATTGGCACTGTGAAATAGAATCAGCTGGTGCTTAAGGTTACTGCTCTATGGCTGGCCCCCTTAGCCTCTGTTCTACCTAAATCTCTCATTATTAATTCCACTTAACTTTTGAATGTTTTTGTAAAATGTGCAATGTCTTTCATTTGTGTTATTTCCCTTATACTTGATACTTTACTAATCACATATTTGCTTATCATTTAGAAAAAGAATGACAATCACTTCAAATCACTGTTAAAACTGTCACTACTTCCCAGTCTCACTCACTTGTGCAGATTATCACCCAGATGTCCACCATCTATATTAAACTAGTGCTTTCAAACATTGCCCATTGTGTCCCTCCAATCCACAGAGGAGAATTAATCCCCTCTTTAATGTAGTTGAATGGGTGGAATTGCCTGGCTAACAACTAGTCAGAAATATTTCACTCATGATAATCTACATTTAAGCAGTGCTATACATCTCATTCATTATGGTTTCAGAAATGCCTCTGACCTTCGCTTATTAAATCACCAGTAAATTTGTTCCTGTCACCAGGAATTTTGAAAATGACCCAGTTTTGACATCTTGTTTTGTATCTGTGTTTGTGTGTGTGTGTCTGTATCTGTGTTTGTGTGTGTACATGTACATGCAATGAGGGGCATATGTTTCTTCGTGTATATATGTGTTTGTGTGTGTGTGTGTGTGTATGCGCGCACGTGTACACTCGCGCTTGTGTGTGTGTGAAGACCTGAGATCATGACAGGCTTCCATTTCTTCTTTCTCAGATAAGAACACTTCACTTACATGGTATGGAATTTAACAGCTAAGGACGAGTTCTTGAAGAGACGAATGTACTCCATAAACATTCTCATGCTTCCATATTCCTCTATCATTTCTCTTTTGTCAGAGGCCAAAAGAATGGAATGCCATTTTCCCACAATCTGTAATAGATAAGTGAATGGTTAAGAGAGGAGGGGCAGGCACACTTCATGGACATGTTTCCACTTGAACTCTGACCCGTGGGGCCTGGGCATTAGCATACACAGGATTAGATCTCACTCACTTCAGTTGGCAAAATACATAAGATCCTATCTGTCTCTCAGTGCGATTGAGGGACCCCAGGCATTATTAGATAAAGATAGCATACGGGTGGTCTTGTTTTACAGTCTGAAGCCTCTCATTTGTCTCACAGAGTGAGGAGCCACAACCCTCCCCTCAAAGGCCCCACTTGGCTTCAGAGTTCCCAGGAGCATCCTCTGGGTCAGACGTCCCCAAGCCCCACAATTCTACCTTTTCTGGATTAAAGTTCTTTCCAGTGAGACTAGTTTTTTCTTCTGCATGGACACAGACTAGGGTCAGCTCCAAGCCCAGCACAAGCAGAAGCAGCAGCAGCTTCATTTTAGATGGAATAGAATCGTCTTTCTGTCAGGACTGAGTCTTTCCTGATGGTGGCTGCACTCCACTCTCCAGCTGCTTTGTACTTATACAGTTTCTGAGTTCAGTTTTTTTTTTAATCTGTGGATCTCCTCCTCCTTCCCTCACTCTCTGTGAGATGTTTCCTCAGTTATTGATGTGAGGCCAAGAACTGCTCCTGCGCTCTTCAAATGTGGCAGTCTCGTCTCCCATGGATTGATTTGGTAACCTTACATTTCTCAAAACATAATCTCAAAAAATTGTGTATGTCTTAGAGAGCTGCCGTTTGTTACCTGCCAGATTTAACTTTGGATCTGACTTGGAATCAGTATTCCTATACTGACACAATAAGCAGTTCTCTGGAAATAGCAAAGATGCCAGGCATGCATTTCTCAGGGCTTGAAAACAGATAAGATGTGACAAAGTGGGTGCTTTATGTCTCAGAGAGGACATGACTTTTACAACAAATATCTGGGCAAACCTTAAGAGTCAGGAAGTGTTAATGGAGTCAGGGGCTATGATTTCTAAAAGGGGAGATGGGTTTTAGTACATAAACTACATTTATGTGGCTAGGTAAACTAGAAGTTTGTAATTGGTAAATGTAGACCAAGTGAAGAAAATGTGGCAGTGCTGTGCACTGTATGGGGATGTTTTTCTGCTTCCTTCTGTGGGGGCTGGGAACACAGTTTCATGATAACCATGGCGAATAGCATAATATATGGGAGGAAAATGAACACTGGATCCACATTAGCATTTTTGACAAATGTTACCACAATCTCCCAGCAATAGATAAAATGGAAAGGCTACTTGAAATCTCAATGAAGCTGCTCTGGGCTAAGCAGCAGAGCACTCATACCGCTGATGCCCTGGTGAAGGGGAATTCCTGTTTCTGTGGGAGACCCCAGGTTCAGTTCCCAACACTCACATGGCAACTGACTGTAACTTCAATTAAAGGGGATCACACACCTCCTTTTGACCCCTGAGGCATTCTGCCCACATGTAGTACATATAAACTCATGTAGGCACACACACACACACACACAAATAATAAATCTTTTTAAAATTTTAAAGACGATCAAGGGAGGATTTCCTGAGGCTAAGCTGACAGACCCCCAAAGCTTCTCAACCTTTGTTCAGAGAACACTGACACCAGAACTCAAAGTGCTAAGTTAATAGTCAAGTTGCATCAGCAGTTTTTAAACTTAGAGACAACTGGACTTCAACAAACAAGGCATAATCTCATCATTAAAGAAAAACAATATTTTCCAAAGTCCTACTTGCTGACAGAGTTCCAAGCATAAATTATGCCAAGAGTCTGCTTACAAAGACATAGTTTAATGGGAACATATTTTTATCAGTACAAATTTCATTTACCCTGTTACTTGAAACATAAAATTGTGTTTGTTTTCAGGATATAAAGAACTTAACAAAGAAGCAGGTACTTAGGTTTTATCTTATTTCAACATTGTATAATATGGTATGTATTATTTTGTTCATTTTACCATAGTGTGAATTAAAACTGAGAAAGATTAAGATATGGTGATATATTTTTATGATCTAATAAAGCTTTCCTGGATCATAATGTAATGCTAGTCACAGTCAAAGAGGCCAGGCAGTGGTGTTACACATCTTTAGTCCCAGCAACATACCAATTAGCCATAGAAGCTGTGCAGTGGTGGTGTATTCCTTTAATCTCAGCACTAGAGAGGCAAATAAGACAGGAGAAGGGTCTCAGAGCATGCATTTAGTTTCCAGCAACATTGAGGACTGCAACCCCTCCAGCCATGGTAGAGAGAAGGGCTTTCTGTCGGCTTGCCATCTCTGCTTCACCGATGTTCAGCTTGAACCCCAATATCTGTCTCTAGGCTTATACTCATCCTGTTACATTAAGTAACTATATGGGGTCACCCAGCCAGTCAATGGGAGAATTCAGTTTTAAATCCAATAATAACCCAGGAGGCTCTGCTGTTATTAACTCCCCTACACCAGTTAAAATGTTTTTAACATGAGGGGAGGATGTTTAAATACAGAAAGAGGAATAAACAGTGCTATATACCTCTAGAGGTGTCTGCCTGGCAGGCACACTGAAGAAATTGGCATGGATTTCTTTCAACTATGTAAACTATAGGTGTAGCTCAGGATGGAGTGAGTAAGGGGTGACTACAGCTCTCTCCTTGTCTACAAGTATTTAATGGATGAGCTGGTAAATGATTGATTTGGGGATTAGTGCTTTTTTTCTGTCGTTTCCATTTTTGTTGTTTTTGGTGTGGCATATGAGTTACTCTGTATATCAGATATGTATATTGCAATTCACAACAACAGCAAATGACAGTTATGAAGTAGCAACAACATAATTTTTTTGGTTGGAGGTCACTATAACTTGAGGAATTTTATTAAGGGTTGCAGGATAAGGAAGTCTGAGAGTCATTGTGCTACGAGATCATGAAGGAAATTACTAGAACATACTAGAGAGAGAGATCATGTTAGCTTACTCCCAAGATGGATGGAATGAGAGACATTTAGAGAGAAACTACATGGTGTTTACCAAGTGTGAAAGATTAGGATCAATTTGTAATTTTCTCTCTCTTTACATAGAAAAATGTAGAGTTATTGTGATAAACACTATGACCAAAGCAGTTAGTGGAGGAATGATTGTCGTCCATCATAAAGGGAAGTCAGGGCAGGAAGTCAATTAGAGAATCTGGAGTCAGGATCTAAAGCAGAGGCCATAGAGGAGCATTGCTTCCTGGTTTGTTCCCTGTAGACTGTGAGCCTGACTTCTATGACTCAGGACCACCTGCTCAGGTGGCACTTCCATAGTGAGTTGGCCCTTCCTGAATAATTTTCAAGAAAGAGACCCAGAGGGTTGTCTACAGGCCAATTTTTTTTGTTTTTATGAGACAGGGTTTCTCTGTATTGTTTTCGAGGCTGTCGGTCCAGCCCAGCCTTGAACTCACAGAGATCCGCCTGCCTCTGCCTCCCGAGTGCTTCTACAGGCCAATTTTATAGAGGCATTTTCTGACTTGAGGATTCTTTTTTCCAAAGTATCAAGTTGAAACTAAAAAAAATTAGCCAGGACTGTTATTAATGAAGGTAAATCAAACAACAAACAAATAAATTCTGCAGGAGAAACAGAACAAAAATAAGCTGTTCTGCCAGTACTCTGAGAGCTGATGTTGGTATCCCTGTGTACAGGAGGGTGTAGGGTGATGTGTACACTGTAGACTTACATGAACGGATGCTGGATTAATGAGAGTTGGGGCTAGAAAGCACATACAGACCAAAGGTTTGATCCTTTGTGATCTAGGCCAGACTTGCTTGTATCTTTCTTGTCCTCTTCTTTCCTCAGTATTCATACTTTTCTATATGTCTTTTCATGAATAGCTTTATGAATTATGTTCAGGACCTTCCCACTTGGAATATCTGTATCATAATTCATAAAACTATTCATGATAAGATTATATATGTATATATAGTTACATATATATGTTTACATCTGTCATTTTATAGATTAAAAATGAATTGTGTTGGCCATTCATCTGGTTCAACATGATTGGTTGTGATGTTACTATTGACAAAAATTCTTTTTTTACACGAAGCATAATCAATGGTTTTAAGTTATAGAATTTAAAAAATATTTTAGCCATGAATGTGAAAAATGTAAAGTTGGCAATATGCTTAAGAGCCTGTCAAGACCTTAGTGCCTAATAGTGTAAGAAAAGACTCTCCCAGAGGACAGAGCAAAGTGAAGTTTCTAGCACCCACATCAGGCAGCTCACAACCACCTGTGACCCCAGCTACAGGAAATCTGACCCCTTGTCAGTCCTCTGCATGCAGCTGCACACACTCGGTGTGCCCCCCCCCCTCTCTCTCCCTTCCTCCCTCCCCCCTCTCTCTCTCTCACACACACACACACATCTTAAAATACTAAAAACACTAACAAAAGAAATATTAAAAATTGGGTTATTATGTGTGCCTATGTGGATGATATGGCAAGCCCAGGCTTTGTCCTTCATAATTCATTTTATAAACATAGCTTTATGTTTCAGAATTTTTTTAAACCAAAGGTCAGTTTTGACGTTGCCACTTTGATTTTATTTAGATGCAAAAGAAATTTAAATAGTTTTTGAATGACTACAGAGAATCGACCTACTTTAAATGGATTTTTAAAAAATTCTATCTTTGAATACACTGTTTACAAACCTAGTGTCAGGCATTTATTTATTATAAAACAACTAAGTAAGTTTTATTGCGCAGAGATGCACCAATTGCTGTTACATTCAGTGTCAAATAACTGTGGTGCTCAGCTTAATTGTGTGCAGTTAATTCATCTGATAAGCAATAAAATTGAAACTAGATATATAAAAACATGAACCGGGCTGCTCAAATGCTACTGGAAAGCCAGACAAGTACTGAAGAAGAGGCCCATTTGACTTAACATTCCGGGGATAACAGGGCAGACCCGGCAAACCCGCCACATTCTCTGTAATTACGAAATCTCTATTAGGCTCATCCCAGAAGAAAGACTAAGAATCTTAACGACTTTTCCCAGCAGCCATCATGACTCTGATGCTTTAGAAATTGGCAAAGGTTGTGTTTAAGAGACTGGGAGGCCAAGTGCATCAAGGCGCAAGGTTTCCCCCTACTGGCCAAGCCATGTCTCTGCATGCGTTTGTGCTTGGCGTATACATATTATGTACTTACGTTGATAATGTATAACTTGCAGCTGGAGAGATAGAGCTCAAAACTTGTATTCATTTCTGACATTTTTAGAAATAGAAAAATTGAGACTGGAGAGAAGGCTCAGTGGTTAAGACCACTTGATGCCCTCGAAGGGGGCCCGAGTTCAGTTTCCAGCATACATGTGGTAGCTCATATCTCTAATTCCAGTTCAGAAGATCAGACACCCTCATCTGATCTCCTCAGGCATCAGCCATGCATGAGGTGGAAGGCATCCATGCAACTAAAACACCTATACACATAAGGTAAATCTAAAAAAATTTATAAATAGACAAATTGGGAGTTGGAGACATGGGTCAGCAGTTAAGAGCACAGGCCGTTTTTCCAGAGGACCTGGATTTAATTCCCAGCACCCACATGGTGGCTCACAACCACCAGCAACTCCAGTTCCAGAGGATCAAACTGTAATCCACTTTTAAATATTAATCTCATCTCTCTTTAGAAAAGTTCCAAGCTTATAACTGAAAAACTTGGTTGCTATTCTTTTAATCTTTGAGTTACATTCTTTCCTTTTATTCATTGAATTCTGAGGATTGAACCCAGGGTGTCAAGGTTGCTAACTCAGTATTTACCACATAAAGCTATAACCCTATCTGTGAAATTATTTTAGATAGTCTGAATTCTTTATCCATAGGGCCCATTCTTGGTCCTTTTGTGTTAGACAATGTATTTTTGCATATATGACTTTACAAGATTTTTTTCTGTCCCAGTTTTTTTCCAAATGTTTTTCTGACTTCTTCCTCAGTACAAATCAAATGTAAATGCTTTAATGGTGTTATATTAGTTGGGGGTTCTCTACAGGAGGAAAACTTACAGAATATATATGTATATTCTGTATATAGTTTGTATATTCTGTATATATATTCTGTATTCTCTCTATATAACTTCCATATAATTAATAAATCCCACATATGTGGGATTTGTTAGAATGACTTACAGACCATGGTCCAGTTAGTTCAGCAAAAGGTTATCTACCAACAGAAAGTCCAAGAACCCAGTAATGGATTTCATGAGACTGATTGTCTCAGCCCACCTTTAGTATACACTGGAATCCTCAAGGAGTAGGCTGTAATGCCAGTGAAGGGATGAATTTGCCAGTGGGAGTGAGAACAAGAAGGCAGAGAGGAACTTCCTTCTTCCATGTGCATTATACAGGCTGCCAGCAGAAGGGGTGGCCCAGGTGAAAGCTGGATCCTCCCACCTTGAAAGGTCAGGATTACAAGGGCCTCTTTCAAGTGTTAAATGATTCAATTAAGAAAACATCCCTCACAGTTGTGTTGAGCTGGGGTTTTAGTTAATTTCAGATGTAGTCAGTTGACAACCAAGACTAGTCATCACAAATCCATCCCTTGTCAACTTGAGAAACCATCTATCTCCTTATGACATGTTTAATTTCCAAATGAAAGTAATAGCCAGGTCATAACTGGCTATTGTACAACTGCAAAAGGATTATGCATTTAACAGGGTCATAATTGTAGATAACATGATAGAACTATCCCTTGTATAACCACAAATCTGTTACAAATTTTAGAATACATGGTAATATCCCTTGAGGGGCATTCTTTTGGTATCTCAAAACGTATACATGATAACCACTAATATTCAATTAATTTTTGTTATATAACAAAGAAATCAAGGAAAGAAAACACAATTATCTGTACAAATTTTTTAACAAAATATGACAGAAGCACTCATGTCTATCATAATTCTTGTTATTGCAACTAGTCATGTGACCTTAGTTGGTATTTATAACTACCTTCCTATAATGCCCATTCTGTATTTCCTCCACTCTCAGCAAGCACCTCAGCAGGTCTTGGCTCTTTTCCTGGAGGAGTGGCCCATACCTTCATTTCTCAATAGTCTGTGCCCTTTGCCATCCTGCCTGGATTAGGATGTTGTAGTTTCCCATCAACTTCAATCACAGTACATGGTAGAACCAAGAGACTCCCTAAAGTATCTCCTGCACTCCAGACATAATCCTTCTTACCTCCATTGTGGAGAGGTAATCCCATTCCCCTTGGTAATCTGTTTCAATCACCCCTCCTAACACTGTTATTTGTTTTTTAGCCTGTTGGCCAAGGGCATGAGAAGCCCAAAGTGGTCAGGGGGATGTTAGAGCTTCTAGTTCAATGGAATGTTTCTTGTGGCTACTGGCAGGAGTGTTCCCCCCATTGAACAAAAACTAGGCCAGTAGAAATTAAGGTAATGGGACCAGGAAGCAAAACTTGCCTAGTGGGCCACTAGGGATGATAGTGAGTGGAACTCTTCCCTTTCCACCACTTGATTCCAGGATCTGGGTCTGTGGATCCTGGCTATGGAAGAAACAGTACCGTTGGATGCTGATTCAAAGCATAGATGCTTTCTGAAGAATCCTGTCTCAGCCCTCCAGGCAGCTGGCAACTAATTGGTGCTGTAACTGTGTCTTCAAAGATCATTACATCTTTCTGTCAGGTCAGCTGCTTCAGGATGGTTGGAAGCATCGGAAAGACCAGTGAATTCCATGGTTGTGGGTCAACTGTTGCACTTCTCTAGCTGTGAAGTAAGTTCCTTGCTTGGAAGCAGAACTGAGTGAAATACCATGACAGTGGACAAGGCATTCTGTAAGTCCACAGATGGTGGTTTTGGCAGAAGCATTATGTACAGGAAAGGCAAATCCATACCCAGAATGACTATCAACTCCAATAAGGACAAAGTGTTGTCCTGTCTACAGGTGAAGTAGTCCAATGTCGTCAACCTGCCACTAGGTCTTTGGCTGATCACCCAGGTTAATAGTGCCATGTGTGAGGTTCAGCATTGGTCTTGACTGCTGGCAGATCTGGCACTCGGCATTAGCTGTAACCAGGCCAGCCTTGGTTAGTGGAAGTCCATGGTTTTTTGTTGTTGTTGTTTGTTTGTTTTTGTTTTTTGTTTTTTATGAGACAGGGTTTCTCTGTATTGTTTTGGAGGCTGTCAGTCCAGCCCGGCCTTGAACTCACAGAGACCCGCCTGCCTCTGCCTCCCGAGTGCTGGAATTAAAGGCATGCACCACCACCAGGTGCGCCAGGGAACACCTGATGAGGCTATAGGTACATGTTTGGCAGCAGATAGCATTGTAACAGGAGAAGAAACCATGGGCATTTGGGCAACTTCTTGTAATTTGCTTGTGCTTTAAGGACACTCGTGAGCCTGATCTCATATATACCACTTCCACTTGATAATAGATTGCTTCTGTGCATGCCCTACTTTATGACTTGGTGAGTTTGATGACACCCAGTTCATGATGGGCAGTTCAGTTCTCATGTAATTTTGTGGCTTATTGTTAAATGTTCAGTTTCCACTAAGGCCCAATAGCAGGCCGAGAGCTGACTCTCAAAGGGAGAATACTTGTCTGGAGATGATGGTAGACTTTGCTCCCAAATCCCAAAGGTCTCTTCTGTAGTTTTCCTATAGGGGTCTGACGAGGTTCATAGCAGCATCCCTATCTGCCACTGACACCTCAAGTACCATATGGTCTGCTGGTTCATATGTTCCAAGTGGTAGAACAGCCTGAACAGCTGCCTGCACCTGTGGAAGAGCCTTCTCCTGTTTTAGGCCCTACAGAAAGATACAAGCATTTGAGTCAATTGGTATATGAGTTAGAGAAACACACCCAAGTGAGGAATGTGTTGGCTCCAGAATCCAAATAATTCCACTGAATGTTGTGCTTCTTTCTTGGTGTCTAGGGTCCGAGTACAGTAATTTTTCCTTCATCTTAGAAGAAATATCTCTGCATGGCCCACACACTGGACTCCTAAGAACTTCACTGAGGTAGAAGGTCCTTGAATTTCCATCTCCTGATATGCATATGTGTTACCAATGAGTTCAAAGTGGTTGCTACTTCCTGCTCACTTGGTCCAGTCAGCATAATTCCATCAATATAGTGCCGCAGTGTGATACTCTGTAAGGGACAGATGACCAAGAACCCTTCTAACTAAGTCATTGCACAGGACAGGAGAGTTAACATATCCCTGAAGCAAAACTGTAAAAGTATACTGCTGGCCTTGCCAAGTCAAAGTTAATTATTTCTGGTGGTCCTTATGGACAGACACTGAGAAAAGGGCATTTTCTAAATCAATACCCGCATACTATGTACCAGGAATTCTGTTGATTTACTCAGGTAAGGACACTACATGTGGTACAGCAGCTACGATTTGAGCTACTACCTGACTGAGTTTTTGATAGTCAATGTTGTTCTCCATTATCCATCTGCTTTTGCACTGACCACAAAAAAGAGTTAAAGGGAGATGTGGTTGGAACTAGCATCTCTGTATCTTTCAAGTCCTTGATGTTAGTACTAATTTCTTCAGTTATTCCAGGGATGTGATATTATTTTTGATTCACTATTTTCTCTGGCAGAGGCAACTCTAAGGGCTTCTATTTAGCCTTTTCAACCATAATAACCCTCACCTGTGGAATATTTGTTTAATTAGGCAAAGACATGATACATTTATTTGTGTTGCATTTGTTTAGTGATGTTAGAATGTATGTTTAAGTATATTCAGATGGGTTATAACTATCTCACCTTGCCTTCCTAAGGCACCTGATTGCGCTAATAAAGAGCTGAACAGCCAATAGCTAGGCAGAGACAGGATAGGCAGGGCTGGTAGGCAGACAGAATAATAGGAGGAGAAATCTAGGCTCAAAAAGAAAAGAAAAAGGAGATAGAGGGAGGGGCCAGAGGCCTGCTATTCATTCACCCAGCTACCCAGACACCCAGCCACCCAACCACAGCCACTCCTGCTGTGGAGAAAGAAGGAAAGGAAGACATATAGAATAAAGAAAGGTAAAAAGCCCAGAGGCCAAACTCTAAAGAAGAGAAACAGGTTAATTTAAGTTAGAAAATCTGGCTAGAAATAAGCTACACTAAGGCTGGGCATTTATAACTAACAAGTCTCTGTGTCTTTATTTGGGATCAGGGTGGAGTCCCTTACCCCCTAAAAAGAGAAAGTCGTCTACATGGTCCTCAGGTCAGGGAACCAATGTGAGAATTCTGTTGATTTTTAATTATATCTATCCTGGTTATACATTCAACTGGGGAAATAACCACAGGATGAGTTTGGGGACCTACTGTGAGTCAGATATCAGCTAAAACTCCACAAACTCCTACTTTAACTGGAGGGCCACATGTTTCTGGGGACCCCCAACAATCAGCATCAATTCAGAACCAGTATCCAACAGACTCCAGAAAGTCTGATAGTTCTTGACCTGCAGTGTACAGGAACCCTTGTAAAAGCCATAGGTCCCACTGGGAAAGAGCTGGAGAAAGGCTAACTAAAACTTTTAGGTGTCTTCTCAGGATCCTTCCTCAGGGGAGCCCAGCCACCCCTTCATTCAAGGGATGCTGGGTCTGCAAACTGGCTCAAGTCTTGAAATTGATTCACTGGCCCAGGTTGCCTTTTACCTTGATCCAACACAGCCTTTCTTTCAATTGTTTGAGAATTTTTTCTGTTTATACAGACCAAACAGAAATGTAGTCATCTTTTTTGAGCAAAAGGGTCAAGACCATGATGGTAAAACCCACAAAGACAGATCACCGGATAAGGGGGAACTCTTGAATCCCAGACTGATGCCTGAGAGGCCAACAGGGGACTGATCAAGAGTCCATGAATGTAGTCTCAGTGAGGCGGCCACAAAATCACTGGGGCCTTGGGTAGTAGATCAGTGTTTACCATGTCTTATGAATGATCTTTGGGAGTCCATTCCAAATAGAGGGATGCTCTCTCAGCCTGGACACATGGGGAAAGGCCTAGGTCCTGCCCTGGATGAAATGACAGACTTTAGAGATTCCCCCCAAGGAGGGCCTCACCCTCCCTGGGGAATGATGTGGGAATTGGGTGGGGGGTTGGGGGGCTGGTGAAGGGACAAGGGAGGAGGTGTGGGAGAGGGAGCTGGGATTGACATTTGAAACATTCATGTTTCTAATTTAAATAAAAACATTACAAAATAAAAAAGAAATATAGTTATCTTTTTATCTCTTTCATTCCAGGAAATATAATAATGATTGACTAGCAAGTCCATAAGAGTCAAGCCACCATAAAATTCACCTTGCTTGTGCTGATCATTACAGATTGGACCATTATGAACATTGCTTTGTCTATTGTGGTATTTGAAGGAAAATGACCCCCAAAAGGGAGTGGGACTATTAGGAGGTGTAGTCTTTTTTTTATTAATATTTTTTTTATTTTCCATTTTAAATTTAGATAAGAAACAAGGTTGCTTCACAAGTCAGTACGAGGTCCCTCTCCCTTTCCCTCCCCTCCTCCTGTGCTCTCCCTCCCATCCCCCCCCCATTATCCCCTCATTCCCCCAGGGAGGGTGAGGCCCTCCATGGGGGTGTCCATAGTCTGTCATTTCATATAGGGCAGGGCCTAGACCCTTCCCCAAGAGTTCAGGGTGAGAGTGCAAGGAGGTGTAGTCTTATTGAAACAGGTGTTGTCTTGTTGGAGGAAGTGTGTCAGTGTGGGGGTGGGCTTTGAGTTCCTTTTCTTAAGCTTCACTCAGTGTGACAGTCAGTTGACTTCCTGTTGCCTGCAAGTTGTAGAACTCTCAGCTTCAGCACCACATTTCCCTGCATGCTGCCATGCTCCCCTTCATGATGATAATGACCTGAACCTCTAAAATTGTAGGTGGTACAGCATCAATTAAATATTTTCTTCAAAAGAGTTGCTGTGGTCATTGTGTCACCTTACAGAAATAGTAATCCCCAAGTAAGGCATCTATGCTGCCTGTTGGGGCCCCATATACTTGGAAATCTATTCCACCCTGCCACAAGTTCAGGAGAGCCTCGATTTCTATTGTCTTTAAGATGTCAGATAATAGCTGCAAGATGTCTTGTTCTCGGTGGAGAATGGCTCCTATCTAAATACCAATCGACTTGGGCCAAGGCGAATTCTACACCCTGAAGATTAGTATACTGCTGAAGGCCTTAGTATGTGCAACAAAGGAATGTCTTTAGGGTTAAGGGAAATAATTGCTATCAACCCTTTATAGTTGATAAAAGATGTCTTCTGCTATTGCCCCCACCTTTGGATGGTTACTTAAGATGATGCACCAATAAACTGGGTGCTTTCAGTATCAACTGACTGCCCTCCTGTTATGATCAGATGTCTCTGTATTTTCTTTAAGCCACCGGATAGCTAGCCTTCCCTCATCCACACTCCCCCACTCAGGAATGCACCAAGGGCCATTCTGCTGGTTCCCTTACTTTATCCACCAACACTCTCTGCCCTCCGATGCTGGAACTTGAATTATCCTTGTAATGCATCCATTCTCATGAGGGCTTCAGTTTGGCTTTCTGCAACTTGTGGTCTCTGGCTGATGGAGAGAAGATTATATTCCTGGGTAAGCTTAGAAACCTTTTAACTTTTTATGTACATCTGGATCTGTCAATTTTACCACCCATTCGTTGTTATTCTTCATTGAAATTCTAGAAATTGGTTAATTTTTATCATGGAACACATTCTTGTCCATTGTCAATTTATCCAGAGATTTTATGAGCAATCAATCAGGCTTAAGGAGACACACACACACACACACACACACACACACACACACACACACACACACACAAAATTTATTAGAGTGACTTACAGGCTGTGGTTCAGCTAGTCCAACAATGGCTGTTTACCAATGCAAAGTCCCAGAATCCAATAGTAGTTCAGTCTACAATCCTGGATGTCTCAGCTGGTCTTCAGTATATGCTGGAATCTGGAAGAAGTAGACTCTAGTTCCAGTGAAGGAATGGACTTGCCTGAAAGAGCAAACTGGCAAAGAGAGAACAAGCTTCCTTCTCCCATGTCCTTTGTATAGACTGGCATCAGAATCCCTCATAGGCACACCCAACTGCTTGGGATTTAGTTATTTCCAGATATAGTCAATTAACAAGCAAGAATAGCCATCACAGTTGCATTTTCTACCTGTTTGCATGCTCTCTCAAACAGTCTATGCACTGTGATATCTTTATATATTTTCCCACATCTTTAACCCCCTATTTTCCAGCCACAGATCTCATTTGCATTCTATCACAATATAGCCCTCTAGTTAAATTCTTTCTCCACTAGACTCTTCCATTTCACCTTCAATTACTTCAAACTCATTGTAGAGAAAAGTAAAATCTCAAACCTCTAATAGGTTGCCTACCTTTCTGCCAACCTTCTTAGTTCATTACCCATATTCTTCCCATCTCCTATAGCTAAACCATTGTGCATTTATTGTGAATTCTCTACCATTTGTGTAGTATCTTTTTGTCTTGGACTTATTTCCACACTAAGTTCTTACTAGCTTCATCTAAATATAGCCCCATATAATGTAATGTGCGGTGGGACATGTGCTAAGACATGCCTATGGTGGTCAGAGGATGACTTAAGGAAGTTGATTCCCTCCTTCCACCATGTGGGAGCCCTTTACCTACCGAGCCACTTTGCCAGCCCCTGAAGCTTTTGTTTGTTTTTATGGCATGGAGCCCTCGTCTCCACTTGGTATCAGTGATGTTTGCTTATGCAGTGAACTTGGAGGTATTTGCTATTCTAATTTGTTGATGAGTTTAAGACTGATTTTTTAAAGTTCTTCTTTGTTTGGTAGAATTCATCAGCGAAACTGTTAGGCCCTGGGTTTGTTTTTTGTTCAAGGTTTTGGCTATTTAGTCTCCTTATTCAGCATTGGTCAGTTTCAGATTTTCTCTTTATTTTTGCTTCAATGCTGATGGGTTTTTGGTCTCTAGAATTTCTCTATTTCTTACATGTTGTCTAATTTGTGCCTCTTTTGTTCCTGTGGGACTAGTTGTAAGTAGTCCCTTTCTAATTTGGTTGGCTCTCATTTCTTAGCCTACTTATTGCTTTACAAGTTTCATGTTCCAGAATGTAAACTATTCATTTTGTTAACTTAAAATTTTCTGTTTTCTGGGCTTCGCTCTCCCTGGGGAGTGAAGTGGAGATTGGGTGGGGGGGGTTGGCAGGGTTGAAGGGGGCAGGGAACTTTATACTCATCTGCAGCCTTCTCTGACTGTGTGAGCCAAACCTTAAGCTGCTAGACCATCTGCTGCATGGCTCGCTCAGCCTAGCAAATGTCACTGGTCACTGGCTTCCCAGCACTGGGAATTTGTTGTGTCCCCCAATGGCAGCTGTTTGTATGCTGACTGCTCAAGTGCACAACCTCTGAAAGGAGCCACACTTCTGTACACCATAAACACTGGACCTACTTGAGAGATGATGGTTACTATGAAGCTTGTCTGGCTCCATGTTAGGAACTTTTCAGCTTTCTTAGGGCCTATGTGAATATACCTGGCCTTCTGGGCAACATATGAGGCATTTCATTCTTGTCAGAATTTTGTTGGGCTGTCAGCCTCCTCGTCCCCTGCCACCAAATGACAGAGACTTATTATGAAAGCTTAGCATTAGCTTAGGCTCATTCCCAACTAGCTCTTGTAACTTAAATTAACTAATTTATATGAATCTATATTCTGTCACATGGCTCTTTATCTTTCTTCCACTCTGTATACCGATTCTTCTGTGTGTAACTGGAAAATCCCTTATGCCTCAGATTCTTTCCAAATTCCTGTCTCTCCCCAGAAGGCCTGCCTGTGTCATCTGCCCAGCTATTGACCAGTCAGCTCCTTATTAACAATCGGAAGGTGCCTTAATAAGAGACACATCTTCTCAATGCACTAAAATATTATCCCACAACACTGAATGGAAAATGGGCTTGGCAGGTAGCTCCATATTTCAAGCAGGCCTTCTTATTATCTGCAGTTACTTTGTCAAGTAGGTGCTAACTCAGCCTCCTGACCCAGGGTTAATTTTATTTATTGCATATGCCAGCTCAGGGATCACAGTGTGGTTGAATATCCCCAACAATGGGTGTTTTGTCTCCATATGTCTGTGCACCATGGGTCTGCCAGGTTCTCATGGAAGCCAGAGAATGCCATTGGATCCCCTGGAACATGAGTTGTAGTTATAACCTGCTATGTGAGTTCTTGGAATCAATCCCAGGTCCTCAGGAAGAGAATCCTGTGCTCCTTAGCACTGAGCCACCTTTCCAGGCCCTACATCCTAAGCCTTAAAGAGCTCTTCTTTAGGACTCCCCAAGTCTCTTCTTTAGAACATTAAATGAAAGTTTTGGAGAAAACTATTCACAACAAAGATATAACCAAGCAGAGTGTACAGTTGTCACATGCATCAGACTCCCTTTTCAGCTCATATCTGCAGTTACTAAGAATTCTGACAATGAACTGTAGGGGAGAGAAATCTGGAGTTCTCTAGTGGATAATATGGACTTGGTTTGAGTATACACTGAAAATGAATGGGAGCTACAGTTTGGCCTCCCATCAGGGACACTGCTGAATGAGTGTCTAGGGAAAATCAGTGCCCAGAGCTTCAGGACACACCTGACCATTCTCTGTGTCACAAGAGAAGTGGTTCCAGGCTGGAATGTACATGCATTAGGCTCATAACAGGATGTAAATGACCTGCCACTCTTGGTCTAGGATGTGGAAGGAAAATGAAAAACAAGTTCTGGAATTCTGAATTAATCTGTGGTGGGATACAAGAATTTGTACTTAAAATTTAGTGTCCTACCAAATCCTTCAGGCAATTTTGATGACTGAAGTTTGTATATTTTTGGTTTATACTATTTTTTCACTGCTCACATGGTGTGTGTGTGTGTGTGTGTGTGTGTGTGTGTGTGTGTGTAGATGCACTTACCCATACATAGGTTAGTGCAGGCCAGAGGGTGATTTCAGGTGTCTTCCTCTTGTTCTCAACTTCATGTTTTTGACACAGGGTCTCTAATTGAGCCTGGAGATGGCTGGACAATATGCTCCTAAATTCACCTGCACCCCTAAAACTTGTTTACAGACACATGCCTGTCTTTCTGGCTTGTATGTAGTTGCTGGGGATCCAGACTCAGATCTCCATTGAACCCCATTGCCCTCTGAACCACACCTCAGCCTTGACATCTAGTTCTTTTAGACATTTTTTCATTCACCAATGGCAATTTTTAATACATAAAATTTTAAGTACTAATGTCTACTGTTCAGGTATCCTCAAATTTCTGATTCTTTTGTATGGTATTATTGAAGGTTCTTCAAAAGACATGAAAACTCATAATCTACCACTGCTTTATCCTTCTAAAAGATGAAGGCTTTTCTAATTCTGTACATAGTGACAGACTTCCATTTGGTGAGAAAAGAAATTAACCAATGCAAATAAATTTCACAGAGCACTTTCTTCACCCAAGAGTGAATCAGTTATTTGAAAATAGGGGCACAATATCCATAAGGTAATCTTCCAACACAAACAGGTGTATGTATACACACACACACACACACACACACACACACTTGTTTTGTCCATATTTATTGTTCTCTGAAATGAGTTAGGAAGGTAATAACAAGAATGACATATGTACAGAAAACATTTAATCACTTATTTGTTTTAGGGCCTATTATTTCAGACTACTGTGCAGATAAAATTTTTATTGAGAATGGAATAAGACTAGACAAGTTCTAATGACTGGGTCATGACTTTTTTGAGGTAGGATTTAGTGAATATGCTGTCAGACTATAAAAGATAACACACAACCAAATATTTCTTTGTGGAGAAAGGAGTGAGATCATGCCTGAATTTTTTTCATCAAAGTCATTATCTTTTTTTATTCAGCTTAAGTGCTAGATTATGAGTGTGTGAGGAAAACACCAGTTGAGAAAATGCCCCAACTAGAATGGCCCATGGGAAAGCCTGTGCTCCATGTTCTACATTGATGTTGGATGTGAAAGTGCCCAATTCACTGTGGAATGTGCAATCCCTGGCCTGGTGGTCCTATGTACAATAAAGCAGGCTGAGAAAGCTATGAAGCAATTCAGTAAGTAGTACTACCCCCATGGCCTCTGCTTCAGTTATTACCTGTGGGTCCCTGACTTCAGTTCCTGCCCTGACTTCCCTGGATGATGGACTATAAGCTGTAAGACGAAATGAACCTCTTTATCCCCAAGTTGCTTTTAGTCACAGTGTTTGATCACAGCAACAGACCCCAGCTATTAGAGCATGCAAGGGCAGACAGGTCTCTTGAAAAAGTCAAACTGATGCACAGCACCTTCTGGAATGCATGCTTGACAAGCATTATGAAGCAGAGTCTAGGAGAAGCAGAATAAGTGATCCAACAACATTAGCTACTCACGGGGCAAGAACAGTGTATGGAGACCTGTTGCAATACAATTGAAATTCCTGACTAAGGTGTCTGTGAATTAGCATTCTGAATGTAAAATAAAATGATGGTTCAAAATACCACTTTTATTCATCTGCAAGCAGAATTCATCTTCAGTTTAACAGCAAATGAGAAATAAAGTATTGTTACAGTTGTGAATCACATGTTAGCAAATCCTGTGTTCAATAGGAAAATCTTTGCAAATTCAATAAGGTTTAGTGCCATGTACCTTAAATTCATTGTACATAAATGAGCATAGAAACCTTATGTTATGCAGGGCAGTGGTGGTCCATGCCTTTAATCCCAGCACTCAGAGGCAGAGGCAGGCGGATCTCTGTGAGTTTGAGAACAGCTTGGTCAACAAGAGCTAGTTCCAGGACAGCCTCCAAAGCCACAGAGAAACCCTGTCTTGAAAAACAAACAAACAAAATCCCCCCACAAAATAAAGACACCTTATGTTACTTTATCAAACAACACTGTGTAACAGACTCAGCTGTATTTTTAAACTTGTTCATTTGTGCATATAAAAGTATTTTAATATATATTTGAATAAAACACATGTACATGATAAAAATGTCAGACCTCAATCCTGTACTTCTATGTTCAGTGCTAACCACTAAAGTTTCCTCTAGATTAAAGAAAGCACAAGTCTATTCATATACAAATATATGAGTATAAATACATACATATGTACACAGAGAGGCAGAAAAAGACAGAGGCAAACACACACACTCTTTGTCCACAATGAGAACATACTATATACACTGTCCAATAATCCACTTTTCTACACTTAGCAATATAGCTTGAGTACCATTCTCTACCAGCACATTTTTCAGCATTTTGAGTTACTCTTAACAACATCTGGACAAAACCCCTCGAAGTTTTCTATTTAATCCATTAATCCCAGCACTCTGTTAGTTCAAGGTCATTCTGGTCTACATAGCAAGTTCCTGGGAGCCAGACCTGCACAGTAAGATGCTGTCTCAGAAGCCCAGAAAGTTTTCTACTGATTTAGAACTAACACAGACATTAACAAAGAAAGCTAGATGATACCAGTGGGGATGACTACACTTATACACCAGGCAGTAAGTGTGCAATAAGCATAAATGCAGATTAAACACTAACTGTGCTGCTTAAGTACACAACATCCAAACACTTAGTGAATTTGTTGTTATACTATTGTCACACTGTGTTAGTGTTGTCATGTGTGTGGGTGCACATGTGCAGGCCAAATGTGAACCTTGAGTATTGTTCTCAGGAGCCTTGTACCTTGTTTTAAAATAGAGTTGCTGCTCCCTGTGACATAGGGCTTGCAGATTAGGCTTTTTTGACTGGTCAGCTAGGCTCAGGGACTCTCCTATCTCAACTTCCCAAATTCTGAGATTGCAGCACACATCACCACATCTAGTTTTTTACACGCATCCTGCGGATGGAATTCAGGTCCATATACTTACTTAGGAAGAATTTTATTGATTTAGCTATCTTCCCAGATCCTTCCTTATTCACAATTTTTAGTTTCATATTTTGTTCTAAATATGGAGTTAATTCATAACAAGTGTAAAAATACAGTATTTTTGTAAAGGTTTAGGATCAAGCTTACATTTTATTATCATTCATTGCTTGTATGTAAAGATCCATATTCAAATTCTCTCTTATACGATGAATGATGTGCTTAAAAAGATTTTTTTGACATTCATCATGTTGAGAACATCCTTTAAAGTTAAACAGGATCAAAACAGTCAGTTGTGAGACTTCCTACATTAATTTTCCTCATGAGATTGCTCTTCTGAGTGAACTTTCATATGTTTGGTAAGAGAGGCATTCTGTTTGAAGGCTTTACCACACTCATTACATTCATAGGGTTTCTCTCCAGTGTGGGATCTCTGATGTATAACAAGTTGTGACTTTGCAGTGAATGCTTTTCCACACTCATAGCATTCAAAGGGCTTCTCCCCCGTGTGAGTTCGCTGATGGACAATGAGGTGTGACTTTTGACTAAAGGCTTTCCCACATTCAGCACATTCATAGGGTTTCTCCCCAGTATGAACTCTCTGATGTTGAGTAAGGCCTTCAATTTGCTTGAAGGCTTTCCCACATTGATTGCATTCAAAGGGACAATCACCTGTGTGAGTCCTCATATGGTAAGTAAGAGATGAACTATGTCCAAAGGCTTTTCCACACTCATCACATTTATAAGGTTTCTCCTTTGTATGAGTCCTTTGATGTATACCCAGGTGTGACTTTTTGCTAAAAGTCTTCCCACATTCATTACATTTAAATGGTTTCTCACCAGTGTGAACTCGCATGTGTTTAGTCAGGGATGAACTATACTTGAAAGCTTTGCCACATTCATTGCATTCATATGGTATTTCACCTGTGTGCGTTCTCACATGTTCAGTAAGAGATGAATTATATCTAAAGGATTTGCCACACTCCTTACATTCATAAGGCTTCTCACCTGTGTGAGATCTTACATGTTGCATAAGGTTTGAGCTGTGTCTAAAGGTTTTCCCACATTCATTGCATTCATAGGGCTTTTCTCCAGTATGAATTCTTAGATGGTCAGTGAGGGCGTGTTTGTGACCATGAGCTTTGCCACACTGAACACACTCATACGGTTTTTCTCCAGTGTGAGTTCTCTGATGGACAACGAGGTGGGACTTTTGGCTAAAAGCTATCCCACACTCATTACATTCATATGGTTTCTCCCCGGTATGAGTTCTTTGATGGTCAATGAGTCCTTGCTTATGGCTGAGGACCTTCCCACATTGATTGCATTCGTAGGGTTTTCCAGAAGTTGGAGATTTGACAGGGTTATTAGATGAACTACGGCTAGACGATTCTTGTTTCTCTTCAGTCTGGATTTTGCCTTCTTTAGCATGGGATGAGCGTTGATGGCATACTTTCTCATATCTCTTGCCAGTTTTGTCACCTTTACCATGTGACTTTTTGTTGGATATTTTCTCGCATTTCTTTCTAGCTAGAATTTTATCTTTACTTGCATCAGATATGGTATGGCTGAATGACTTCCTGTGTTCTTTAGCTGTATCAGGTTTCTTTTTTGTAGAGTTTTTAATTTCACCAGTAAAGTTTAAATTCTTCTTCGAGTTCTTTGCATGTGAATCAGATTTCAGAAGCTTTTTTTTTGAAGGAAGATGTTTTGTACTGACAGTTTTTTTCTCCAACAAAGCACACTCGCTGCTGTTCTTGCTGCTTGAACTTTTCTTCTTGAATGTAGTTTCCTTAATAAGTTTGCCTTGAGATTTCTGCTTTTCCTGTATCTGCTCATCATCTTGTTGGACTTCTAAAATAGAATTTAATGAGACATTCTTGTAAATTTTTGCACTCCACTGAAGTTCTTTATAAGTTTCATAAAGAGATGCCCTGTTTGGGGTTGAATACTTATTCAACCCTAAGATGCCAATGTGAAATAAGCATCAAGAATGAATGTCCCTATCCACCTGAAGAGGAGAAAAGCAGTAGTAAAACCAGGGGAAAGAAAGCTGATAGTAGTCATTAGGAAAAGATTTGGCTGCTTGAAAGCAGAATTTTAGCCTGGTGGTGGTAGCACATGCCTTTAATCCCAGCACTTGGAAGGCAGAGGCAGATGGATCTCTGTGAGTTCAGGGCCAACCTGGTGTATAGAGTGAGTTCCAGGACAGCTAGGGCTGTTACACAGAGAGAACCTGTCCCACAACAAAACAAACAAACAAATGAAATAGGATCATGTAACCTGGATAGAAGGTGAAATAGACGTAGGAGCACTAAACAAGGAATGCATTACATTAAAAGATGTTATATTATGCCAGGTATGGTGACACATGCCTACTAATCCCAGTACTCAGGAGGCTGAAACAGGAGGATTTACAGAACCCTGGGATAAAGAGATAAACAGAACCCTCCAGGTAGCATGCCAAGGCCAAGTCTTATAATACCCAGTGATGATGAAGAACAAATATCCTTCTCGAAAGAAAGTGATCAAGACTTACACCTATCCACTTGACATGTAGCATTAAAACAAACTGTCTCTGTGTGTACATGTTCATTTGTGTATGTATACAAAGATATGTGTGACCATGCATGCAGAAGCCAGTTTGACATCAAGCTATTCCCAGATTGTTTTCTTTATCTTATTTTTTTGTAGCTAGGTTTCTCAGTGAACCCAGAGCTCACCAATTGGCTAGACATGCTGGCCAGAGAATCTTAGGCTTCTGTGTTCATCTCCTTGGTGCTAGGATTACAGCTGTGCACTGCCAGGCACAGCTTTTTACATGAGGGTTGAAGATCTGAACTCAAGTGTTTCTGCTTGTGTGGCCAGCACTTTATAAACTGAGCCATTTCCCTAGCCCCATAACACACTTCTTATAGTGATGGATGGAGCTGCCACACTGATCTGACTCCCCAAAAGACACAAATCAGGAAAAGAAAAATTCACCACAAAAAGAATGCAAATTACAGTCCTGGTATGTAATAAGATCATACTGGGGCAGATTTGGGTGTGACAGAATAATTCATTAAGGCTGAGATAATTTTCTTTTCCCCTTCCTTCCTTCCTTCCTTCCTTCCTTCCTTCCTTCCTTCCTTCCTTCCTTTTTAAAATTTTTTATGTCAGGGTATCTTTGTGTAGCCCTGGATGACCTGGAACTCACCAGTCTGGCGTCTTTCTCATATAGATCTGCCTGCCTCTACCTCCCAAGTACTGAGATTAAAGGTGTGGACCACCACCATCCAGGAAAATAATTTTCTTAATTTGAGACAGCAACAGAACTTGAGTTTTAAGAGAAATCAAAGGTAACTTCACAAACTTAAGCATGAAGCTCACTAGCCCCAGCAAATATGTAATATTTATCAGTAACATATATGATGAATTTTAAAAAGTGGACACATTAAATCCTCCTGAGAACTGCACTCAGGGATAAGATAAACCTGATTTGTGTGATAGCAGTGACAACTAAGAAAAAAACAAATGGGATTTGAAAAGAGGATCATGGAATACATGGCTAAAATAAGAGGACAAACATAGGGAGGGGTGAAGTGTGCCTCTAATTAACGAAGATGAAACTCCATATCTGGCTCCTAAAGAAAGACTTCCCTACAAGCAGCTCCAATAAGAAGGTATGACACAGGCATTGGAGATGTCCAATTAGAAGATGTTAATGTTAAAGATGAGCTTGTGTTTACGTAATGGGTTTCTGTTTGAAAGCTATGCAATGGAGGAACAGAACATAAGGACATATGATCTTAAGGGACCATCAGCAAAGTAAGGAAAGCTGGTGAGTAAACACGATCAATTAAAGACAAGGCAAGAATTTAAGGTTAATTAAAGCTATTATAACATATGCACTAGAGGGTGTGCATGTTGACTATATCAATCATATTAGTCACTTCACTATTGCTATGACAAAACACCATGACCAAGGCAATAGGTCAGCTTTAGAGAGATAAGAGTCTGTTAATGATAGGGAGCCATGGCAGCAAAGGACAGACATGGAGCAGGAAGCTGAGAGCTTACATCTTGAACTGCAAGCAGGAAACGGGCCACACCCCCTAAGCCTCCCGAAACAGCACCATAAACTGGGGACCAAGCATTCAAATGGGGGCAGCTCATCCAAACCCTCACAGGGGCAAATGGACATGGTGACATCGTGTACAACCCAGGCACAGGGAGTTTTGCAGTTAAAGGATGGAAAGAAAACCATTAGGAGCAGGGGCATCGTTCCCAGAGATACAGAATGAAAACTGATCTAAGAATGTCTGAATTCATCAGGAGAGATTGTGATACATTAAGGAATTATTGTGAAGGTAGAGGGCAGGAGGAAAATTGAGGATACAAAGAGAGGGTCCTTCTTAAAATATGGTAAACAGGAATGAGATTGGCAGGAGAGTTACAGCGCCTTCTGAAAGATAAGCAGTGGGCACATGGGCAGGGAGAGGGGCTAAGTGAAGGAATCAGCTACTTCAGGCTCAGAGCCCTGGTTTTCAACTTTTCCTGTATCACAGTCAGAATGGTGACAGATCGTACCATTGCTCTTTATGGAAGATCATGCCCTGGGACCCTCAGTAGCATGGTCATTTGAAATGCTGCATCTCTCCTGTGGGGAGGTTATGCATGCCTCTCTAATCCCTCTGAACCAATTGGCTTGTTGAACTGAAATGAATTGCTACCACATCCAGGCAGTGATTTTTAGGGATTATTTACTGGTTTCCCTCACTCATTCTTTTTCCTCCCCATAAAACAAGAGCTTGTCATGAGCCTCTCACGTGGACAAGTTCACAGAAAGAGGAGATATTAGAGTCTCCAAGTAAAGAAATATCTGTAGTTTCAATTCTTTTTCTCCTGAGAGATTCTGATATTTTTCTACTATTTCCTTGTTAAGAAAAGAAAATCTTGAACTTAAAAATTTGTTTTTTTCATATTGGGGTTTAAATCTAGGTCCTTCCACATGTGAGTAGCACTCTCTACATTGAGCTGTATCCCCAGCCCTAACACAAATTTACAAATTATTATTTGGAGAATTCCAAACTTAGTACCAAGAAACTAAAAACTTACTTGTCTTGGTTCCTGCTTTCTTGGGCCGTGCTATTTTGTTCACATTACTTGGGTTGGGTGTTTTCGCTTCTCTCAAAGATGACTCTTCTTTTTTTAACTTAGAGATCATACCTTCTTTGGGATCTTGATTTCCTGCTTGTAAGAAATGGTAGAAACTGAGTGTTGGACCAGCCATCTCAGAAATTGAGGCCTGCTGTTGGCACTTCAGGGCCTTTCAAGGCTAATGAACATATATGGCTTCTAATGTTTCACAATAGGGATACACATGTACCTAGACCTTCCCTTTTGAAGTCAGTGGCTCACCACCACCACCACCACCACCACCAACAACAACAACAACAAACACAAAATAGAAAGCCATAAAAGACCCAAGGAAGAAGGGATTGCAGTGAACACACTCTGAGTGACGGGGAATTGTCCTTACCCATTGAGGCTGGGTTGCTGCAGTTCTCTAGCATTGCATCATTGCTTAAGTTCCTCTTCACAGGTTCCAGCTGTTCCCATTCCTTCCGAGTAAAAGCCACAGATACATGTTTGAATGTTATTGATTCTTGCCATACTCACATCCAGTCTAGTATTTCCTAATTCTCCATATTCAGGAGTGATTTGAACAACAGAATGTGTTTTTACCTCAACTATCCACTATTGACCACAATAAACATTTAAACATGCTTGCTTAACATTTAAAGATAATCCCTCACCCTTACAGACAAGCAATATGTGATTCTAATATGTCACTAATCTCTACCTTATAGGTTTTCAGTCTGTATTCTTAGTAACTCCTAACACTAACTGCTACTGCCCTTCCTCCCAATCTCTATGTCAGTACAGCCCTCTCTAATCACTTGTGCAATTCTAAAATGACTAATGCCAACAACTGCATCACCAAACATGGGCAGATCTTCCCAGGCACTTGCCTCATGAGTTTCCCAGTCATGGGCCAGAAAACACATTGATCTTCATCAGCCAGAAGTCCCCAAATCTCTAATCTGATTAATCTCCGATCACTAACACCAATAGAACTCTTTAACAGTGGCCATCACAGAAACCCTAATCTCCATAATCCAGCACTAGCTCTTACCACTCCTCGTCTGTTCACCTAAATAAAATCCACTCATCTCCAGAGGATCCTGCTCCCTACAGGGATATCAAGCAAAGGCTACCTTTAATTTTTCTCTGTGACTTATGTACCTTAGGCTCTATGATGGATGGAAATTATTGCTTCAGCCATTTTTTAACCACTTTCAGAATTTGTACACAGATTCACCAACTTTTAATACAGTAACTTTGTATGGCTCAGTGATTCAATAGGAAGAGTGACAAGATTCAGCACGTAGCTGTAGTCACAGCCATGGTTCATTATAGCTAAAGGACACAAAGCAAATTAATGAATAATTAAGCGATGAATTCAGGATGAAAACAAACACAGCATCAAAGAGTCCTTTCCAGGTACAGTCACATAGAGCATGCTGTTTCCTCCAGAAACAAGTTCTGGCAACATATGTAAAATGAGTTGGAAAGTCCCAGCTAGGGTCCAAAGAGACTCAGTGCTCAAGGATTTTGCTAGGAACTGGGTTATACCGGGACCATTTGCTGACATATACAAAAATCCTACAATGCAGGTCCTAAAGCCAAAAATCTGTATCTCAATCCCTTTGTCCATATTGATTCACCTATTAGCTCACATTTAGATGTACTCTGAATGTGATTTCATTTTTCCAGTGTAACTCCAAATTGTCACCATAATCTCTTGCCTTTGATTACTGAAATAAACTTCTGACTGTCTGATACCTACTGTAGCCTTGTAGTTCGTGTTCCATAGAGTAACCATGATGATCTTTTTCATGTATTGATCAGATCAAATCACTTCCTTGCTCAAACCCAGTGATTTCTCATTGAAATTAGAATAAAATTCAAATCTAGCACTAGCCAGTATGATCTTACATGATCTAATATCTTCTACTATTGATTTCATGTTTCTCTACTTTTCCTGTATACATGTGTTTGTACGTGTGTTCTTCTTTTTATCTCTTTTATTTTAGTATAACAAGAACTTAATTCCTATATTAAGGCTTTAGCAATTGGCATTCTTTCTTTTTCCAAACACCTATTGGATCTGGGCATTAGCCACAGCCTGTCATAATTTGTGTTCAAATCAACTGTCATTTCTTTCAAAAATTAACTTGAAAACTTCATTCTACTGATCCACCACATTGTCCTTTCTTACTTTCTTCACAGCAGTTACTATTGCCTGGAAACTATCTTACTTCCACTTATATTTATATTCTTGCTGTCTCTTTCCCATTTTTAGAATTTAAGACATTAAAGACAGGCTGGTTCTTCGTGATGCTACTTAGAACATTTTCTGGCATAAAATAGGTGCTCATCTTACAGTCTGTTCCACAGTTTTCCAATCATTGAGATCCATATATTTCCCAGTCACTAGCCTTCACACACACCCCCTACATAAAGTTCCCAATTACCATTCTTCACAGAACAACCTATAACCTCCACTGAACCTAAGCCTGAAGCCCACCAACCTCACTGTGGACTCTTGACCTCAGGATCCTAGTCACAGAATCATGAAAGACTTTTAATAGTTATTAATAATTCCTACCAAGAACCCCATCACTAGTGGGACAGTTAGGACTATTGGTACCTTTTCTCCCCAGATGACAATCTACCATCTCCATCAGCACTTCATTTTAAGACTCCTCATATTTCACCAACTATCATCCTCCCATAAGCTTCCAGGCTCCCAACTACCCATCATAACACACAAAACACCAACTCTGAAAGACACTGCTGAACAGACTTCTAGAAATAGCACCATCCCCAACCCCAAGGTCCTAACCTCTGATCCCCACATGTTCCAAAAGGTGCAGCTGTCCAAATCTCAACATTTCCCCTCTGACAGTCCACAGTCTGCAATCCCCAGTTACCTATAATGGTTGTTTCCATATAGGGCTTCCCCATCTCAGATACATCACAAAGCCCTCCTTTCTGATCTTGCTAGTTTTCCAGACGCTGTCAGAGGCAGTTACCGACATCTCCCCGCCCCCGCCCTCCCCAAGCATCATCACTATCTAGTCTGATCCGTCAAAACACTACTTTCTTAAAATTATAGCAATCCCCGTCTAATGCCTCTAACACCACGGGTATTATCGGGTATTATACCCGTATACCTAATACTCCATATGCCCATAATACCCAGATCTCTCAGAGCACCAGCCTCCCAAAAGACTATTCAACAACGACGCCACAAATTCTCAAATCTTGTCTTCAGACTCCAGTCACCCTCTAATCACTGACCGCCAAACTGCTCCCAAACCCTTACGCTGGGCCCTCACCGCATCGCTATCCGCGGGCTCGGATGCAGCCATGGTTCTCGGACGCCGGGTCCTGTCGGCTGTTCCCGCACTCCTCCGGCCCAGCGCCTCTGGCTTTGTCAGGACCTGGTTGGAGTCAGAGGCGGACATGGCGGCCACCCCGAGCGCCGCTTCAGAGGGTCCCGGGGCTTCGATGGCGGCGCCCTGCGGAGATTGCTTGTGGGCGCGGCCATCTTGGCATGGACTCTGCCGTACAGCGGAGGCGCAGGCGCCTCTGGGATCACTGTCCAGGCAGGGCCTGCTGCTGGTTACTCCAGGGTCCCAGAGGTGCAAGATGCCCAGGCAGGAAGTGCGGAGGGAAGCTGCTCCGAGGCACGCGCCCCGGAATTGAAACCCCGGAGGCACAGGGGGGTTTCATCTCGGGAGTTCTGTTATACAGAACGTTGATTGATTTGCGTTTCCAAACGGTTTTCCAATGGCAGTTGCCAGGGAAACCTGGGAAGCTGAATGAGGAATCCTGCAGCGAAAGAAACAAGAAAAGCCGGCCTAGACCTGTAATACTGATTTATTGCTGAGACAATGGATAAGTTCTGTTTATGATTTATTGAAAGCTCGCCTGAGGATTCAGAAAGCAAAGTCAGCCACAAGCTGTAGGATCCAGGCACATATCTTTAATCCCAGCAGCCAGAAACTAGGAGGTGTTGGTATACGCCTTTAATCCTAGGACTCAGGATTAAGAGATAGACTGAAGGTCTCTGTGAGTTCAAGGCCACCCACAAGAGTGAATCAGTCTAAAAGAGAATTATAGCTCACACCTTTAATCCCAACATTAGGGAAGTATATAAGACAGAAGCAAGGTCTCAGAGGCATCCGCTCTCCCTCCACACTGAAGCTAGGAGCCATCGCTCTCCAGCCACACTGAGGAGCGGTTATAGTTTGAGGCTTGGTGAAGAGTGCATGGATCACTCCTTTCAGGCTCAGCTTGAGGTGAGAGCTAGTGGCTGGCTGCTTTTATTTTCTGATATTCAGCTTGAAGTTTGAACCCTAATACCAATCTCTGGGCCATTTATTTATTCGTGTTACAGAGACATAGGATACGTTTTTTGGGTTACTGCTTAAAAAGAAAGTGTCACTCAGTGAACTCATCACTCCTGATGGTAGCCCAGCTTTCACTAGAATCACTCAACTTTTAAAATGATTTCTCAGTGCACCACTTAACATGTTCATTGCATTCACTCAATAGTTATTTTTTTTGTAGAGTTTTCAAACTGTAAATATGTTCAATCAAGGTGCTTGGCCCTGTTGGTACTGGGCAAGAACAAGACTCCATATAGTCTTTATTCCCCAATTTAAATTTGTGGTGGGACAGACAAGATGAGATTGTTGTAAATACATTGTTGTGCTTTATTGACTCAAATATCTATGTTTTGAGTTGAAGGTGGAATGAGGGTGGTGACTCTGCCCGCAATCCAAGTACATAGGAGGCAGAGGTAGACAGTCTTTTCTGGACTAGCCTGGTCTGTAGAGTGAACTTGAGGCTACCCTGAGCTACACTAAGCACTTGTCTCCAAAGGCTAAATCACAATACAGTTTGTTATTGATTTATTAAATATGTATGTGCAGGGAGAGAGCACTGATTTGTGAAGGTCAGAGGATAAATCTCTAGAGGTAATGTCAGTGAGATCCAGGATCCCACTTAGTTCTTCAAACTTACCCACCACAATGGTTTCTCCATGCATAGCCTTCTCACAGACACCAAAATTTTAATATGTTGCCATCTTCCCTGACATTCTCTTCTGAAGACAGAACCTAGAGCCTTGCTTACTATGGAACTGCTCTATACTGAGTTAAATCCTAAAGCACAAATTCAAACAAACAAGCAAAATAATCCCTGTTTTGCACCTTCACCTTGACGTAGTAAGGGATTGTCTGCCTATCGGTAGTAGTTTCATTCTCTTGTTCTTAGACCTCTTGTTGTGGAGCATTCACCAGAGAAGATTGCTTGGACATGGGTTTAAGCCATCAGAAAGTCTCTATTACCCTGGAAAACTGCCACTGCTCAGGTGCAGGGCATACCAGTCAGAAGAACAGGTAAGTGACCTGTAGATGAACTTTCTCATCAGGACCATTCACAAATAATGACATGGAGACTAATTACTGATTATGAAGCTTTACTTGTAGCTTAGCTTTGTCTCACTAGTTCTTATAACTTAAATTAACCCAATTGTAGTAGTGAGTCTTTTCTGTCCTGCCTGCTAGCTACCAAATAACCATATGGAGATTTCTTATTAATTATGAAAGCTTGACCAATGGATTAGGCTTGTTTTTAACTCTTAAAACTCAAATCAACCCATGTCTTTAAATCTACATTATTTTACGTGACTTGGTTTACTTTACTTTGTAATGCTCATGCTACTTGTTCTGCTTCCGGCTTATGACTCCTCCCTTCTTCTTCCCAGCAGCCTCTGTGCCTAGAAATCCTGCCTTACTATTGATCATCCAGCTTTATATTAAACCATTCAGAGTGACATCTTCACAGTGTACAAAAAGATTTTCCACAACACCCATATCTTTTAATGTAAGTTTTTAAAAAATGTGGTGTGCCAGAAGGTCCTGGATAGATATTCTATCAACATTAAGAGAAAATGGATGCCAGCCCAGACTACTATACCCAGCAAAGCATTCAATGAATATAGATGGAGAAAAAAAGATACCCCATGACAAAACCAGATTTAAACAATACATATCCACTAACCCAGCCCTTCAGAAAGTTCTGGAAGGAAAACTCCAATCCAAGGAAGTTAACTACAATCAGAAAAATGCAAACAATAGATAATCACACTTTACCAACAGCCAAAAGAGAAAAGGGGTGGAAATCCACATACAATTCCACCACCACCAACCATTCCAAAACAAACAAGAATGAGTGATCAATAATCACTAATATCCTTCAGTATTAATGGTCTTAACTCACCCATAAAAAGGCACAGGCTAACAGAATGGATTCGAAGATAGAACCCATCCTTCTGCTGCATACAAGAAACACACCTCAGCTTCAAAGACAGATGTTACCTCATAGTTAAGGGTTGGAAAAAGATTTTCTAATCAAATGGACCCAAGAAACAAGCAGGGGTAGCAATCCTATTATCTAACAAACTAGACTTTAAACTGAAATCAATAAAAAGAGATGAAGGAGGTCATTTCATACTCATCACAGGAAGAATCCACCAAGATGAAGTCTCGATTCTGAACATCTATGCCCCAAACACAAAGGCATCCACATTCGTTAAAAAAATTACTAAAACTCAGACCACACATAAAACCTCACACACACATAGTGGGAGACTTCAACACCCCACTCTCACTACTAGACAGAACCACCAGACAGAAACTTAACAAAGAAACAAAGGAACTAGCAGAAGTTATGACCCAATTGAGATTAACAGACATCTATAGAACATTACATCCAAACACAAAAGAATATACCTTCTTCTCAGCTACACATGGAACCTTCTCTAAAATCAACCACATACTTGGCAACATAGCAAACATCAAAAGGTACAAAAAATTGGAATAACTCCATGTATCCTATCAGACCACCATGCTTTAAAGTTAGAATTCAACAACAACAGAAACTGCAGAAACCCTACAAACTCATGGAAATTGAATAATGCACAATTGTACCACTCCTGGATCAAAGAAGAAATAAAAAAGAAATTAAAGACTTCCTAGAATTCAATGAGAATGAAAACATAACATACCCAAACTTGTGGAACACTTTGAAAGTAGTGCCAAGAGGAAAGATTATAGCACTAAGTGCCCACATGAAGAAACTGGAGACTAGTCACACTGGAGAATTAACAGCATAACTGAAAGTTTTAGAACAAAAAGAAGCAAGCTCACCCCAGAGAAGTAGATGCCAGGAAATAATCAAGTTGAGGGCTGAACTCAATAAAGTAGAAACTAGGAAAACAATACAAAGAATCAATGTAACGAAGAGTTGGTTCTTTGATAAAATCAACAAGATAGACAAACCTTTATTCACAAATTAACAAAATCAGAAATGAAAAGGGGGATATAACAATGGACACCGAGGAAATCCAGAGAATCATCAGGTCATACTTTGAAAACCTGTACTCCACAAAATTTGAAAATTTAAAGGAAATGGAAAATTTTATGGATAGATATCACCTGCCAAAATTAAATCAAGAACAGACAAGCAATTTAAATGGACCTTCATATAACCTCTAAGGAAATAGAAACAGTTATTAAAAGTCTCCCAACCCCCCCCAAATAAAAGCCCAGGGCCAGATGGCCTCAGTGCAGAATTCTATAAAGATCATCTTACACCAGTTCTCCTCAAAGTATTACATGCAATAGAAGCAGAAGAGTGTTTTCCAAACTCTTTTACAAGACTTCAATAATATTGATATTCAAGCCACACAAAGACATAACTAAGAAAGAGAACTTCAGACCAATATCTTTCATGAACTTGATGCAAAAATACTCATAAAATACTGGCAAATTGGATCCAAGAACACATCAGAAAACTCATCCACCATGATCAAGTAGGTTTCATCCCAGAGGTGCAGGGATGGTTCACAATACGAAAATCCATCAATATAATCCACCATATAAACAAGCTGAAAAACAAAAATCACATGAGCATCTCACTAGATGCTGAAAAAGCCTTTGACAAAATTCAATACCCCTTCATGATAAATGCCTTGGAGAGATCCACGATAACAGGAACATACCTAAACATAATAAAAGCTATATACAGCAAACCAACAGCCAACATCAAACTAAATGGAGAGAAACTCAAAGCAATTCCTCTAAAATCAGGAACAAGTCAAGGCTGTCCACTCTCTTCATACCTCTTTAATATTGTACTTGAAATTCTAGTCAGAGCAATAAGACAACAAAAGGAGATCAAGGGATACAAATTGGAAAGGAAGAGGGCAAACTTTCACTATTTGCAGATGATATGATAATTTACATAAGTGACCCAAAAAACTCTACCAGGGAACTCCTACAGCTGATAAATACCTTCAGCAAAGTGGCAGGATACAAGATCAACTCAAGAAAATCATTAGCCCTACTATATATAGGTGATAAAAGGGCTGAGAAAGAAATCAGAGAAACATCACCCTTTACAATTGCCACAAACAACATAAAATACCTTGGGGGTAACCCTAACCAAACAAGTGAAATACCTGTATTGCAAGAACTTTGAGTCTTTAAAGAAAGAAATCAAAGAAGA